ATTTTCAACAACCGTCTTTCTCAAACCTGGCTTCTGAAAGTTATAGTCGATTCGCGAACGCATTTACCTTGTTCAGTATCTGACACTGAACATTAAAGAAAAAGACAGAAACTGTTCGTAGTAGGGGTCCCCTTGATACCCATACCCTACTTCAGACCAAACGGCTCAAAATCCAAACACTTTTATAATTTTCCAAAACATTGTTGTATTCTCATTTATAATATAGATACTGATGAAATACCAGGATTTTTCCTTTTACTAAAAAATCATATCTTCATTGCGCACAGTGAAGATACTAACGAGAAGATGCGTAACGTGTAGCTAAAATTTATTTTACGTCGTAACGCAAACCTCCTCATTTACGTCGTAATTTCAAGTAGATGTTATGATTACGACGTAACGTGTCATGCTAAGTATAATCACGTCTTAAAGGTGACGTCGTGATATATTTGAAGACCTAAGGACGACCTTCAAAGTACACTGAACGATAATCGATTTCTCGCCGTAAAACAGACGTTGGTATATTTTACGACGTAACGACGTGTGCACAAGGTTTACGTCGTAAATTTTACGACGTGATACCCGGCTGACGGGAGAATTTGACCCCCTGGACGTGAAAAAGGTGTCAGAAAGTCAAAAATGTGCTCAAAGTGTTTGGAGCAGTAATGAACGCCAAAAAACTGTCTAAAATCTTGAATATAATTAACTCAAACAATCAATCAAATGAGCTTCCTTCGTGGATCTGTTTTAGTCAAGGGTCGATTTGTAGTACAAATGGATATTGCTACTTACTCTCATATTGCCTTGAAATTTCCAGCATTGCCATGGACCGGAGTCCCGGATTTTTCCTACGCTTAGTTCTGGTTTACTTGTATTCGTTCTTTGGAAAGAAAATTACAAAGTCAAAGCAAAATTAGCTCTCTGTTTTAATGTTGGCACCGTTGCTTTTAACGGAGCCTAAAGGCTTAGGTTCAACAAATGAATGTCACATGTACCGAACTAGCCTCCCACGCAGACGTTCTTAGGGGTTCGTCTTAAAACTATGACGTTAAAAATGACTTGATCTGTAAAAAGCCGTTGCATGGGGTAAGTATGGGAGTTGCACACTCCAGCTTATGGGTTCCCGTAGCATGCGTAGCTGGCGGTATTCATGTGTAAGTCGACTCCCTTTTTTGGATCGCGGCTCCGCCACCAAAACTTTAATCCGATTAATCGTGCTCCGATACAATACCGCCAGCTACGCAGGCAAGGGCTCCCAAGTAAAGTCAGTTATTCAAAAACTTTCTTTGTTTGTTTATTTTTATTTATTTTCAACAGGGAAGCATGTCACTGAAGGTTTTCAATTCATCCTCGGAGATCGCTGGCAGTCAGGCGCTACTAAAGAGAATTTTAAATAATAAAAATATTATCTGCGTGACGAAATTTTGCAGAAACGGAAGAAAGTACTTTTAGGCACTTATATTCATACTTTACCATTTCTAACTGGCTTGACGCGCCAGTGACGCTTGGAATCGGTTGCTAAAATGTAAACGGAGAACGTAACCGACGTGTAGCTTTACCCTCCCCCCACAGCAGAGAAAATGGAAGGGAGGGATTCTAACGAGGTTTTCGTAGACGTTCCCTCCTATCCGTTTTCTCTCTGACCCTCCCCACAGCGGAGAAAATGGAAGGGAGGGATTCTAACGAGGTTTTCGTAGACGTTCCCTCCTATCCTTTTTCTCTCTAAGGGTTTGAGCGAGGGGGTGGGGGTAGTACTTCAAGAAGACTAGGGCAACAAATATGGGGAACGGGAACTGACGCGAAAATGAATCAAAGAAAGACGTATCGTCAACTCATGGGTACGTTGTTTAGAAAATAATCAATTAGTTATCACCTCTGGTTTTCCCACAGTAAATTTTAGGAAATGATAGAAATTCAAATTATAAAAACACAATACTTTTCTTGCTTTTTATTGCACTTTATTAACAATTATTTAGGTATGTATATATTTAAAAAAAAAAAAAGGAAGATGGAAAAAAGAAAGTCCTCAGCAGAACGATTGCAATAAAACCCAGATCATAAGAAATTTTCATCTTTATATAATACAGTTGTGGTAACCTTTTTTCCATACCTTTACTCATGCCGACGTAGTTAGTGCTCAAACTTGGGAGGTATCCCTCTCAAAAAATCCAGTCGAGCCACCTTAACCAATTGAAAAAACGACTCGAAGCAATCGGATGAAATTAAGGCTAATTGAAACCAGGCTACTGACAGTAAAAAACAATGTAAACGCATTTCATGGCAATGAAAGAACATATGCGATACAAAGCCGACACAACTCCTCCGCGAAATAGGACGCAAAACATAACCTTATGTTTTCTTATCTCGATTTCCGCTGTCATTTTAAAGCTAATTCTCAAAATCACATCCATTTCCCCCCGTGATCTTGGGGAGTCCTTAAGAAGAAAAAGAAGAAGTGCCTTTATGCCTTTATTTACCATACATTCATTCATACACATAACCTACTACATTACTACAAGGTAGGAGATCAAGACAGCGTCGAAGTTGAAGGAGTCGAAGAGCAAATGTTCATCTTCTCGTCAAGTTTAACGCCTGGACGAGTCGAAGGCTCTTGAATCGTATTAATCTGAAAGATTCCTGCGTGTCTTCAATTTGGTAAGACCTCTATCCTCTAACCGTGCTGTAGCGCACGATGCACGCTCTCAGCGAGGAATTTGATGCCACCGAACTTCGGCGAGCGCGTGCTTCTTTGGAAACGAAAGATCTTCGCGCTCTCGGGTTCGGACCCGATTAATTACGAAGTGCGTCTACTACGAGTGAGCGAGTGACTCATTTGCATATCCCTGTCCCTACAATAACTCGTGGTACGCTCGCGCGTACCCGCGAGTTAAAAATGGGAACTACACCTAACTTCAATCAGAACAGGGAATGGGCAATGAAGTTACCAATAGGGCAAGGGTTTAAGTTAGGTTTTTTGGCCATTTTTCATTTTCTTTTTCCTTTTCCTTCATGCCTGTTGCCCGTTCATCGTTTTCCATTTCAATAACATTCAGTGGGGTCTCCTGATATTGAATAGAGAAAAAGCCTCAGTTTATTCTGCATTCCCGATCGCCGAACCTCAATCAATCAATTTTGTGAGGTCTTGCACGTTTTGTTGTCTCTCCATACCTATTTGATTTGTTCAACACGAGTAAATTAAACTTTTATTTGGGCTGAAGAAAACAGCGGATTTTTGCTACCCATACAGGACGCAGCATTCGAAATAGTTTTTAAACTTTAGGCGTAGTTTATGTTTTAAATCCTCTCGCACTAACTGCCTCTCCCTGGCTCTCACACCTCACCCCCTCCCCCCTCCTCCCACCCGGACCACCAGCAGTGTCAGTGTAATTACGCCGAAATGGACCATGGGAGTCGAAACCTATAAAGGTAATTAAAATGCCAAAATAGTCTTAATCTTTCTTTAAAGTTTTATCTTTACGCCTGCAGTTCTCCAACAAAATTACTAGTCGCGCAACCTTGATCTGTTGTGTTTGAAGCGGTAATGTATTTTGTGATCTTATCTGAAAATTAATGCTGACTGGTAATTTAAGGGGAAAAAAGAAGAAAGAAAGAAAGGACACTTACCCATGAGTAGAACACGTCTGAGAACAATTATACCAACCTAAAAGGCACAGAGTCATGTAGAAATTACATCAGTCAGGGTTGGTTTCCAATATTTAACTGCAGAATACGTCAATCGGTTAAACGAAGTACCGGGACTATATTGCACATTCAATCTAATATTGTACCTCATTTGTACAGATTTAGCACACAGTCCACTATTAGTTCATTATATGAATCACTAAAATTAATTACCGTCAAGAATAGTCAAGTGTCTTAAATTGTTACTATTACGCGTCATTCACACACCGCGTGATAAGTGAACGTAAAAGACGGCATCAGGCGAGATTCAAAAACGACGAGGGGTGGGTGTAAAGGAGCTTGGGGACGCAACTCTGTACATAATTGGCTGAGCTACGTTGTGTGGAGGAAGTGCGCGGTCGAATTTCAGTGTGGAAATAAACCGCTTTAGTAAAATCCAACTAGCGGTCTATTATCAATGCTACTACTAGTCTATATGTTATAGCCCGCTAGTAGCGAAAAGCGCCGGCTTTGAAAACCGAAACAATGGCGGCTGAATCACGTTTGGTTAGCTAAAGTTGTTTCGTCTCGATATTTTTGACCAACTAGTTGGATTTTACTAAAACAAATATTCCTCTCGCCCTCATGGCCTCTGGGCCAATAGGCCATGAGGCCGAAGGCCGAATGGGTTATTGACTGAGAGCCCATTCGGGCTTGAGGAATGATTGTTAACTATTCAGCAGCAGACGCATAATTTATGCTGCCTGGGGAGAAGAATGGGGAGAAGGGAAAAGAAAGCGCACGGGGTAAGCACGCACATTATTTTATTGTTGGAATACCAGTGGGAGTGGGAGGCTAAGCATGGGCTAAGTATTCCGATTTGAACATTTTGTTTTTTGTTCCGTTTGTTTATTCTTTTTTTTCTTTCTTTCTTTCTTTTTTTTTTGATACGGCGACAACAAAGTAAAACTACACACAGAATCAACGAGGAGAGACATGGAAATCTATCCACACATAATGCGAAATGGCTGCACATTATACCCGTAATATACTGACCTTTCATACTTGCGTTTGCATAAGCCCTTCTTTTAAAACACGCTGCATACAACTAACCGCTGCTGTGATGAAAGAGCCCATAGCATAGAAAAGGTCCCAGAACGACTACCTTCGTAAATAAATTTTTATTTAAACTAAATATGCTTGGTGAAATATGGTACACGCTTTGACACGCTTTAATAGTGTACACTTGACTTAAGTACAGTAACTATAATGATGGCCTCTATAAATTTGGCGATGAACAATGTAAGTTTGTTAGAATGTATTGTAACATATAACGAAAATACAGCTCATATCATGTTTCAAAATCATTTCAATGAATGCCTGCACAACTGAGGAACATTTCATTCTCAGGTTATTGATAAATACACAATTCTGCTAACCTAATCGACAGCAATTAAAACCTTTTTTTACAAGTATTAGAAATGTTTACATGATTGTTTGTTTTTAATATTCGTTAATTCTAAAAATACAGAAGTTCAAACTCGGGCAAGTGGTTTTAGTAAGGATTTCTAGTTGGATTTAGCCCTGAGAGCCGATCCCATAATCCTCATGGGGTGTACTCTATCGATGGCTGGTCGCTCAAGGGCTTCCTTCAGCTTTCGTTGGTATTCAGCTTCAGCCTCCTGTAACAGAAACAAAACCATTACCATCCTCTTTCTCTGCAAAAGCACTTTTGACAATTCTTTGGAGGATAAAGACACCGTGAGGAGAAAAAGGGGGGAATTTTAGAAATTTGGACTAGAGAAGGAGGAGGGAACAATTCTACTCAGAAAGTAACAGGAATCGCTTTGGAAATAAGGATGGTCAAATACAACATACGCGACCCTCTTTCCCGTTCTCACGAGCTCGTGAGAGGTGAAAGGATGGGGTATGGAAGGGTGTGAACTTGTCTTGCTTCATGGTTCGTACAATTTCAGACAAACACATTTCAAGGACTTTTCAAGGATTTTTCAAGGACAAATTACAGTTTTCAAGGACTGAAATTTATGCAATAAATCGGCATTCGTCAACCCCCTTTTTGATTACCCTATTGGCAAGAACACGTCATGGAGTCGTTTACGATTTTTACTTCTTCGTTCAACGTTGATCACATTATTTTATAGTACTTTCCGCAAAAATTACAACAAAATGACTGGGTATGACTTGCGGATGCATGTGAGGTACAGAATAGTATTTAGAATAAAGAAGCAGAAATAAAATTTTGTTTATGCACACGTTACCCGTGAGTTTTACAGGTTCTTACACCGAGGATGGGCCAAATTTTCCTCCGCAAAATAATCTTATTTTACAAAAAAATCAAAGGTGGCTGGCGTAGACAAGGTGGTGAATTTCAAGGACTTTTTAAGACCCAATAAAGAAATCAAGTACTTTTCAAGGACCTTACAGTGTAACTGAATTCAAGGACTTTTCAAGACGACTACTAAGTTTCAAGACCTTTTCAAGATTGTACAGCCATGTGCTTGCTCTCGAAATGAAAATGCCTGTCTCGCAAGAGGTAACTTGAGGTGGTGAGTATTGAGAAGCCGCTGTGAGCCTGAGAGCACGCTCTCCCTTCAGAGGATATCGCGAAACGTCGCGCGCGAGCGGCTCACGTCTCGCTTTGCTTGCCACTCAAAAGGGAGCGCTTAGTTGAGCTTGTTCGCAGGCTACGTTACGCCGCAAACAGTGGATGAAGTATTTTTGGTATTTCGATCTTTATGCAATAATATATTTCCTCATGTTAGTTGTACCGGATAGCTATAGTGATTTTTTTCCAGTAGACCTGTACCGTTCTAAACCTCTTATTTCATAGCCCCCCTTTAATCTGCACTTCCATTGTTTTCAGGGATAGGGGCATTCATACGTGACAACCCCTATTGTTTTCCCAGCCAATCACAAACAATCTTTCAAATAGGTACGGCCGGATCGCCCATTTTGTTTTTTCCAAAGTACGAGGAAAACTGGTTTGTATTGAGACTATTGTTACGGAAGTTGCTTTTCAAGACAACAATTATAAAAAAAGACAATGACTGTACCATCTTTACAGCCTCTTAACTGACCTGTCCCATTCTAAATTCCCTCTCCTCCTCTTCCAGTTCTTTGGCTTTCACTCGTCGTTGATAGTCGATCTGCATGTCAAGGTCACGCTGGAATGAGACATTTCTGTTTTTTATTCTTTCTTCATTTTCTGCCTCTAGTCGTTTATGCTCTTCAATGGCGGATAGTAACGCTTCTCTTTCTGCTCGCTCAGCCTCCTGCTCTTCCTCTGCATGTCGTTCTGAGCAAAAAACAACAACAACAAAAATCAGTCTACGTTCTGGTAATAACAAGAGCGAATATAAGGGGAAAAAAATTAAATTTGTGCATAACAAGCACTCACTAAACATACTACGCTGATTAATCCATAATGGATCAACATTCTTCCACAGTCGGCTCATAAAGTACAATGACAAGGCAAGGGTAGAGGAAAGTCAAGGAAGCACTTGAAAACGTCAATAAACACAATAGTATACACTTGTTTTTACTAAAAATATCGTAAGTTCAGGCTCATTTTAGCCTGAGCTTGCACACGTTCTCTGTTAAGTAGTCGCGATATATTCGTCTTAGACTTTCAGATATCGCCAGGCCAGAATAACGAGAACATCAAGTCGCACTCTTATCAAAAATTTTCACCCTCAGGCATCGGCGTCAACAAAAAAATCGTTGTTTTATTTGTTTGGCAAAAAAATTTCAGTTTTCTCACGCGTACTTAAAAAAGGAGTGTAACCGAAGTAATTTTGATTGGCTGTTTCGGCAAGATGTTAATAAATCCAAAAAAAGGGCCGTAGATCGTAAAAGATCTGTATTAGACTCTTTTTTCGTTTTGCCTTGTCCTCACCTGGGAAATTACAATGTAAATCTTTTATCGCGTAAATTTTATCATACAAATAAGTAATGTGTTGTTAACGAACATGGCCGCCTTGCCAGTTGGTTGCAAACCAAAACTTTTGCGTTGAACCTTTCTTGCTTAGGACCAGACAAGGTTAGAAAGTATTGAATGGCAGTTGACCTGGATCAGACTGGATCCTATCAACCTATGAAAGCCAATCACTAACATTTTGTAATTTAGAGAATATTAAGAGGAATAATTTGATCCGATCCGATTCAGTTTTGTTGACGCCTGTATTGTAATAAAGAGGAGTGAAGTTCAAGTTCAACTTACTTCTTTCTTCGATTTGTTCTTGTCTCGTCTTCATAACGTTTGCCAGGAGTTTTTGACGAGCGTCTCTCTCTAGTCTGTACTGCTTCATAGTGTGGGCCCATTTCTTTTCCACTTCCTCGTTCACAAGTCTTTCCAATTCCCTTTCACGTTCCTCCTCTTCCTTTCGGTTCATTGCACAGTACTGCATAAAACGCAAGTTCTCTTCGCGCAGTTCACGCTGTTAACCGAAAACGTAAGGACCAAAATTAAGCTTCAATTTTGTCAAAAATTAAGAACTATAAAAATTGACGTTAAATTACTTAAGAAGTATCTGAACAAAAGCCCAAGATTCAGTCTGGACCAATTTTGTCGGCATACATGTATGTCAAAACGCTTTGAAGAAATTAAGGCTATATATAGCCTCTACATATTGTATTATGGGAACTTTTGCTTATAAATTGACAAAAATGAAAAAAATTATTATAGCGAAAGGGATGAATGTTCTCTGATTCGGCTTAGAAACATTTTAATCACATTGGGAAAACAATGTACAAACCTTTCTCTGCGTTTCTTCCTTCACTTCATTCCGTGTATCGTCCAGGAGTTTTTCCAATATTTTCATGTCCATTGCCAACTCTTCTTGTTTTTCTTTGGCCTGAATAGTTAGAAAAAAAAAAGGACGCAGTTTGATCTACTAATGAACTACATATTTTGAAGAAAACTGGAAATAAAAGTTACATGTAAACCCTGTCAAGGACACTTGCTTAAAGAGAATTCGAATCCACTTGTTTCAGGCCTTCTAAAATTGCCACTTGTGAGGAAGGTGACATACATGCTCAGGTAATTTGCTGGACGAAAATGGAAAATGAGGCACAACTCGTATTCTAATACAGCGTGAAAAGCAGTCAGATATTACGTGGTCTTTCTCAGCTCATGCAGCAGCAACGCACTTTTCAGGGGAGTGGGGGAGGAAACGCTTTGAATTCTTCTTTCTATTGGAAGTATTAAAAACGTTCAATAAAAAGTTTGACTTCACTAACAACTTCCACCTACACATTCAAACACTATAACATGGAACACTGTTACATGTTTAAAAACAAAGAAATGTTAAAGTTTTATTGAACAAGGGTATATCTTGCTATAAACTTTCCATACATTTTGCTAGATCTGGGGCACAGAATTTCCTATATATTAATGTAGTGGGGTTTTGTTATACAGGGGTTCCTGGAATCATGGTTTGTGTTCACTGTACATTACTCCAGAAAAAGGTCCAGAAAAATTATAGCCAGGTGATCAACCAATTTTATCTCTAACTATCAAATTATATAAATAACTTCTAACTTTTTTTAGTATAAAAAGCAAGAGTATCATGTCACAAACCTCTTTCTCTTTTTTAAGTCTAATGGACACCTCCCTGGATTTTTTGGCAGCTTTCTGTTTGCGTAATTTTTCTTCCTGAAGCCATTTCTCTTCCTCTTTTCTTAGCCTTGCTTCTTCTTTCAACCACTCTGCTTCCATTTCTTTTAATTTCTTCTCATCTTCACGTTGCTTTTCACAGGCTGATATTTGCACTTGTAGTACCTATTTAAAAAGAAATCAGGTTAGTTATATGTTATCAACACAACGTTTTCAAAAAAGCACTGAAAATGGATTCAGAAATGCATTCATCACATACATGTAGCGTTGATACTTAAATGTTCGTATATTTTATGCATCTGATTTAATCAAGAAACAAACTAAAGACATCAGAAATTTGCCATTATAATACACAGGCAGTTGAAATGTTGCCCAGAATAGATCATAAAATTTTATTTCCTATTTTTAATTGCTCGAGCTTAAAGTAGAATTCCCCAAAAGTTCACATCTTACCACATTCACCATCATGGCATTTTTTACCTCTTTTTTTTCACATTTATACAATTCTGCAGAAAAAAAATTGACTATGAAATTTTCCTGCTAGCTCAGTTTCAGTTATTTTCACTTATTTCATTTCTATTTTTTTAGTTTCAAACTAGAACTTGATTCAAGTTTGCTATAGAGCGTTTTTCACATGACATCACGGCAGCCATCTTGGTGTTAAACAATGAAATGGCGGCCATGTTGGTCTTTTCTTATGTAAATGCTTTCTTTTGTTCCAATAAATTTGCATAGATGCTGGCCATGTGAGTGAAAACACTTTATAGTTACATTTAATTTGTAAACTTTAAAATCACAAATTGAGTCAGATGTCTTTGGAATTTCCCCAAGGCTAGACGTATAAATTGCAAGTATAATAACAAATCTCACTGCAATAACTAGATTTTACCGCAAAAGAAAAATAATCAACCAGTATTATTATCTCCAGTACCTTTAAAGTTTCTCTGTTTCTTTCAATCTGTTCTCGTGCAGTTTCTTCCTCTCTCTGACTTTTTATTGCAATATCTTTTGCCCATAAATCAGCATAAAATTTATCCACCTCAGCATCCTTCTTTTTCTGCTGCTCCTTCATCACTAGCTGTGAATTACGCTCCTGGAAAACTTCATCTCGGTGCCGCTGAGTAAGAGTTGAGCGGAGTTCTTCACAGTTATCTCTGAAAATAAAAACCGGAAAACAAATTATTATGGAGATCTAGGAGCTTTTGGTACATGCATGTACTCTATCATACAGAAATGAATGTTACGCATACACTGCAGAGCTTTTTAATTGAACACCCATACAGCTGTAATTCTGAAATTTCCCCGTTTATAGTCACATGTAATTAAGTATGTATCATCTGAGGCCACGTCAAAACTCAAGAAATGTATAAATCTTCAACACCACCAGGAATATCGTAAGTCAGGCCAGAAAAATCAGGACAAGCGCTATGCATGTATTGCACTGTATACGTGTAATAAATTAATTAATTCAATACACTGTAATTTCAGAATAATGACTTGTATAATTATGCTATTTGTAATACTGCCTGTACCTCCATCTTTGGTCATATTTTTCCTGTACAAGTCTTAGTCGTTCTTCCTCCCTCTTCTCTTTCAAAAACTTGGCTCGCTCTCTCATTTTTGCTTGTCTTTCAAGGGTTGTTTCTTCTTTTGCTTCCATTTCCTCAATATAACTTTGTTCTTCAACAAGAAGCATTTCTCTTAATCTATTAAAGAGAAAAAGTAAAAATTCATAAATGATAATGACATTAAGTCTTCGCAGACAGTGCTTTGGACATTTCTATATATAATTTATAAATGGCTATTACACATTACTAATATTGAAAAAAAATTTTTTTTCAGGCTTCTTTTTCACTGTGACGATCATTTCTTCATTTTCATTTCATTTCTGCAGTTCATATATGATTTATTTCATAATATCATAAGCATTACTAATATTATTGTACATTCACTAGAGAAAAAAAATAACCAAAAATATTTTTTGTTACAGAACCCATTTTATAGGTAGCCCATTAAGTTTGAGCAAATGGATGAGTATGTACTAATTATTTATACCCTAGGCCCAACAACATAACAGATATTAGACATGAATTGAAATTAAGACATGAATCCAGTGAAGTTAAGCAGTAAGAGCGAACAAAATAATTTGTACGTTGACAAAATTTCAACATAGACTAAAAATAGCTGTTGATAAAAACCTAGACAAAGGAGATTTTTCCCAGGGTGATCTGATTATTTCTGATGACCACTTATTAAATCTTGGCCAATTCCGAACACTAGTACAAATGTACTGCCAGGATGGAAGAGTCATGTTCCATTACCTACATTTTGTTTCTAATATAATACTTATCAGTTAAACCTCTGCCAAGGCCACCTTTCACCATTGTACACTTTTTCTTGTCCTGGCAGAGAGTTCACACATTTTACACTTTTCTTTAACTCTCTATAATATTGCAACCATTCCACAACCACAATGGCCACTAAAATGCTAGCCTGAGAAAACAGCCGACATTTGGCAATGATACCACTGGTTTCCCTGCCAAATGACGTCTGGGAAACGAGTGCAGAAATTCCATACTGATGACACGTCCTACCCAGATCCGGGTAGTGCTTCTGATTGGTCATGCAAATTTCCCACACAGCAGACCAACCAGAAGCACTACTCAGATGTGGACAGTGACGTGTGATCAGTATGGAATTTCTGTGCTCATTTCTCAGACATCATTTGGCAGGGAAACCAGTGGTAGCATCGCCAAATGTCGGCTGTTTTCTCAGACTACTAAAATGCACCTTCTAATGTTAAGGAAATCCCCCTCTTCAACTCAGCCGTTTGAGTTTGTGTCTTGATCCCCTCAAAGGTGGCTGTTATAGAGACATTAACAGTGTTCTCACATACATACACTATAATATATATTTATTTGGTATTTGTCTATTAAAAATGATTAAACTCCAACCTTTCTCTCCTGTCCTCCAAACTAAACGTTCCCCTCTGCATTAGCTTCTCCACTCGCCTAGCAATTGTATTACTTTTTATTCTTTTATCAGTTGCTTTCTCCCATTCGGACTAGAAAAAGAAGAACGTGGGGACATTTCTTTTAAAATAAAATCGACTTAAATAAATAAAAATACAATTTAAGCTTACATTACCGATACACATCCTTATGTTTTGCTTTAAAGTTATATAACCTTACATTAAATTGTACTTCTTGCTGCAGACACTGACCTACCGAAGATAAAAACAGCAATAATGATCTTACCTTCAAATCACACTGTTTCTGGTACTTGGTTTCAGCAATTGCTTGCTCTCTAAGTTCATCTTTTCTCCTTGTTTCAAGGATGAGATGTTCAACTGGCCGTTTGCTCGTGGGTTTGGCTTTCTGCGAAGCGTACGTACATAATACAAGAAAACGTTGTATCTCCTATTTAAGCTGCAAAGTACTTCTATTAAGGAATTTTTAATTTTATCTTAGGAACTTAAACGTTTTCACTCATACAAGATAAGCACAACTGTTTGAAGGGAAAGCTTGTTAATAGAAGGTATAGTAAAAGGCACGCACTAAACATTTCTGAGATCTGAAGAAAAAATCGTGAACTTACAATGGCTACTGAATGAGGAGTAGGACCAGTGAATTCTCTACACCTTCGTACATGTTCTACCATCATATTGACAACGAATTATTTCGGACAAATACGGTGCAATAATACAAAACTTTCGTATTTCAGATCACAACATCCACTGCTCCTGTATTGCTTGGCAAGGTGGTTGCTATTCCGGTCCGTTGCCATGACTACATGTGTTAACAGTTGTGTGCGCCTGCGTTGAAAAGGGAGCCTCGATTTCATGCGATCAGAAGAGTACAGGACACCCAACCTCAATAGATCTCTGCGTGTGTGAGGGACTGCAACCGATTAGCTACCGATTCAATTTTAAAAAGTAAAAATACAGTTAAATTATGAAGAATGTTAACTTAACGGCCGTTTTTTGATGCAATTTCGTACCCACATTTCACTCTGTGGGGGATCTGTGTACAAGTTCATTTTCGCTGTCGGGCCAGCAGCCGATTAATCGGCTCCCGTGACGGCCTCCAGTTATTTATCTGTTTTTTTTTTTAGCCCCATTGGGCAAATCTCGACGATTAATTGACACATTTGCTTCCCGAGCTGCCACAACTTTTGAATATTGCGCGTATCTCTCTCCTCCTCAGAGCTAAAGATGTCAAAAAAGTAATAAATAAGTAAATAAATAAATAAAGGCAGGGGGAGGGGTAGGTGAAAGGAAGTCTGCCTTACTAAACTAGCGCTTAATAAGGTGTTTCAATACAGTTTTTCAGTGACCATATCGATATTTTCAATGGTCTGAAGAGTGATTATTTTAATTTTATCCTCGTCCGATCGCTATAAAATTTTCACCAGAGATCGACTGTGAATCGAAGTATGTCAAAATGAAGAAGGCGCCAAAAGTCAAAATTTAGAATAAAGTTGCACTTGGACAGGTGGTGAGAAAACAGGTTAGTTTTCAGGATCGCAACACCCTGGGTTGCAGAGGATATTTTTTTTTTCTTATTGATCTGATTGTTCGCGGCGAAGCCGTGTCAAACCGTAAGCACGGTTTTTATTTCATATTAGGTATTTTGAGAACGGACCTCTGGAGCCAAGGTAGGATCGCAAAGGAGAAAATACACCAAAATTTCCCAGCAGCAAAATGTGATATTAAGCTGCATTCTGACGCTACTTAAGATTAACTTGAATTACTTAGAACTTTTTTATGAAACAATTATCACGGCTATTAAAAGTATAAGGTTAGAAGTATGTTTACGTTTTATTTGAATCAAGAGAGGATTAAGTTTTATCCTCTCTTGTTTGAATTCAAACAAGCAGAATTTTTTACTTCTCACGGAGGTTACCTGCTAAACACCGGCCACACATTAAGTTTCTGGTGTGGGATTTTCAGTAGCAGATCAAGATCGCCCAAAATTCGTCTTTTATCGATTAACTTAAGACTAGACTTTGAAATTAAAGCTCAATCCGAAGTTAGTCAGTAGTGAAAATTTCATAGCGATCTGACAAGGATAAAATTATTTTTAAGGCGATTGAAAAATATCGTTGTGGTCTCCTAAAAACTGCATAGAAACACCTTAAAATGCCATATTATATCACAGGTGTCCCAAGCTCACGTTAACAGCCAAAAACCCCGACTAAATCGGTGAATTCACTCCAAAAAGCACAGGAATACATCAAAGGTAAGTCTCCTTTATTTATTTTACAGAAAAATTAGGTAAGAATAATGATATTCAGCGTTCTCAGACCTTAGTATTTTATTTCTCATACAAAGTCTCAACGGTAACGTAACGCTAACGTAACGCTACACCGACTCTCTATTAAGAAAGTTAATTTACCTAAAACACTCGTAACGTGAGCTTGCGACGCCTGTCATTATATCGGCTCAGGGACTTCACAAGAAATAACAAAAATAAGTAAAAGTAATGGAAGCTAAGTCGTTTTTATAAATCTATACCAATTTCGTTCATTTAAGTCAATTGTGTTTCGCCATACAAATCCTGATATTTCAGTGGTTACGCTATAGTGCTAACGCAACAACTGTGTGCCTGCGCTACCTGTGAGATCACGAGCAGGACAAAGCGATGTCGATGCTCTTCAGTAACTATTACATATGGAACATTACCAAATTCTTTATGGACACTTCACAATACATGTGGAGGGGGCAATGTGATGATGCTGAAGTGATCTTAATTGGTAGGTTCAGGGCCCTTAGGTTTTAATAAGGGGTTCTTTGAAAAATTTCCAGTACTAAAAAAAAAATGTAAGGCAACACTGTAAGAAACAAATTTAACATTCTAAATTCATTATTTAGATAATGTCAGGAACTATGAATTATGGAAGTATTACTTGTATCAGCCGCTTTACATGAGATAAGTGAGACAGTGGATGGCGGAAGGGGGGGGGGGGTAGGGTTTGGAAGCGAAGTTGTAGTCATGAACTTTCAGGTTTGTTTCCAGAGAGAGAAGGGAATCATAAACCATCCGGTAGCTTTGATGCAATCGACAACTCCGCAACGCTATGTAATCAGCTTCCTTTTCGAACGCCAGCGCCTGATTTGGAACTTTCTTTGATGATTTTAGGCAAGCAAGTACATCAGCAACATACTAACGCCATTATGTACGTAACGCAATTAGATATGAAGTACACAGGTCTCAAAAAGGACACTATAATTCTATCAACGCAACATGTAGGATTTAATGTAGGAAAAAGTAAACAGGTCTAGACAGTAGAATTCGTTGACAAACACTGGGAAAATTATTTCCGCGTAAAGAGCATTAATCGTCGCTAACCGCCCCATCCCTTCCCTAAAAGTATTATGTGAAAACCTGAAACAGACTAAACATATAATACAATTGCTACTACAATTTTCCAGTAAACATTGGAATGGGACTGCTTCCTTTCCTGAGATAAAACCTTAACAGGATCTGAGTATCTAGTGTTCGGTAGGCTTATACAATCATAAGATCTCTTCTTGAAAATTGCTAAAATTAGGTTTAAAGGAATAAAAGAATGTAACCACAGTTAAATATTCCTGTCAATTAAAATGTATCTAATATAGAAAACTCGGACTCGGACTTCCAAATCATTACGGATAGTGCTTAAGCCTTGATCGTCAACTTTGCCACTAGAACAACAAATCCTTAACAAGTAGTGGACCCTTTGCACGAAACGGTCACATGGGAACCAAAAACGGGTGTCACTAAAACGCGGGGTGGGGGGGGTCGGGGCCGGGGCTGGGGCCGGGGTTGGGGTCTATCTTAGTTTAATTTTGTTTGTTTCGTTTTTTTTGTTTTTGTTTTTTAAAGAATGCTGTTTTAGGTTTAAGGTTAGGGTTGGTGTCAACCCTAACCCTAAACCTAAAACAGCATTCTTTAATTAAAAGATAGACCCCGGCCTCGACTCCTATCCCTACCCCGCGTTTTTCTGACACCCGACAAAAACACCTTGCTGGGTGGCAAACGACGCAGTGAGGCAAGAAAAACAAGAGATTACAAGGTGTTTTTATACCATGTGACCGTTTCGCGCAAAGGGCCCATAAGGTTCTTAAAATATTGTTTGAAAAGAAACATTTCTTAAACCGTTTGAAATTCAAATTGCCTGCATCCCGAGACAACAACAGGTCAAAGTCGCCTACAAGCCACAATTCAACATCAACAGGCTCTTTCCGAGCCGAAAAGCGCAACATGATTCAGACCGGCCCAAATTGGGCACACTGTACAGAACCCGCAGCTGCAAGAGCTATGATTTTGTATAATATGACCAAACAAAAAGACATCTGAGGTCAAGCGTTTTTTCTTTCATCAAAAAGAGGCTATTTGACCACAACTCCACGGTTGCATGCCATGATTGACAACTAACTGTCTCGGATTGTATTGTCACTTTCCTGTCATCCAATTGGTCAATTTTGTTTAGGTGGCCGCGGTGAAAGTAGTCGCACTGTAGCAGTACGGACACTGCGGGGGGGGGGAGGAGGGCATAGAGAGTGTCCGTATTAACGGGGTGTCCGTATTAAGCGGGTTGAATTTAGAGAAAATGTAAGGGCTTTTTTCCTTAGGGACAAAGCAGGACAAAGCAAACTGTGCGCAATAATGAGGTGTCCATGTTTAGCGGGTGTCCGTAAAGCGGTGTTTGACTGTAGTTATTTAATAAAAATCTCTCTCATCCGCAAAGACGGCATAACATTTAAAGAGCAGAGTCAGATAGCATAGCCTGCGAACTGTAGACGCATTTAGAAGCGACGACCGGAAATACGTCTGCAGTTCGCAGGCTACAGATAGCTATACCTCGTAGCAATAACAAATCCTTACAGTTGCATCGGCAATAAAAAAAATATTTTAACAATAACATTCTTTCTTTGGCGGAACAGACATTTTAAAATTGCTTTAGTAATATCTTTAAAAATACTAGTAGAGCAAATCACTAAGGGGCCTTCCATTAGGCTAAAGTTGCCGGAAGAAACGGTCGAAATATGAATGGAAAGCTTCGGTCCAGGTCCACCTCCAGAGCCGGGTGGTCGTCTTTGATCGACCGAAACTTACCGTTCCATTTCCATTTCTCGTTTCCGGTCCACTTCCCTAAGAAGTAATCAAGATTTTGGTCGAAACGTATTTGAAAGCTTCGATTCGGTTGGAACTTTGTTTCAATCGAACAGCGTCTTTCCATTTTCTTTGGTTAGTTCCACTGGTTTCTAACCGGTCGGTTTAGAAAAATGGGAAGCACCCAAAGAGGGCGACCTTGCAGCTCTCTCGCTTCACGGTTGGTTGGGAAAACAATGAACACACACAAAAAAGGTAACAATGGAACATAGCCGGAAACAAAGGAGCTGCGACCTACAGAGGTCCAATTAAATAAAAGCTCTGAAGAGCTGCAAGGTTACTGACCAAAGACATCTCCCACTTTTTCGACAATCTGCTAAGAACAAAACAAAGATCATAGAAGAACCAAAAAAGGGCAATGTGGATCAAAGTGGTTTTCATTAGCGTATCGAGAGTACTGGAAACACGAAAACCGATGATATTATAATCACAGGGTCAATCCGAAAGGCGCCAGCTAGCGCGGGAAAAATACGCGCAGCGTCAGCCACTGATTTTTATCTCTAACCCTCCCTTTGATTGGTCAAGGAAATGGCGCGAGATTTTAGGCCAATCAACAAGCGTCGCAGTGAACACAAAAGAAATTACGAAATGACCTTTGAAACTCAAGTGAAATCATAACTGCCCTTTCTTAATTACTTCATCAGATAAACCTGCCACTAACTGTTACACCTGATATGGCTTACAATATATAGGTTTTCCACTGCCTTTCGCATGGCAATGCAACATTCCTGGGCGACAGGACAGCCTGTTTGTAGGAAGGTGGATTCACTGATCAATTTCTTTTTCAAGCCCTTCCTTATCAAATTCAAGCTGCTTTAGTTCTCTCTGGAGTTTCAAGATTTCGTTTTCAAGTTGTTTTACCCTGCAAACAGCAACGAAAAAACACAGAGAGATTAACTCATCACGACACGCAATAATAACTAGAAATGCGCGTCTCGAAGAACTTCGCGACGCTCGGGAAAAGGGCCGACAGTGGTGAATAAAGAGGAAAGCCAAAACAAACAAATACGGAAAAGAAAAGAAAATGGAAAAAGTAAAATCACTTTGCCGGAATTTGAAAGCGGAAATAACTGGGAGAAAGGCGACTGCATTGCCTCTGGCGAAGGCTACAAAACCTTGAAGAGTAACTAGGTCCACCCACCGTAGGAAAAAAAATAGTTCTGAAAACGGTTTGAAATTCAAACAGTGGTCAAACAAAGCTATGAAGAGCCTCGTCAAAACACCTGCTTTGAAACAAAGAAGGGAGGTTCCAAAACTATTTTCTTAGAGTCGGACAGCGAATCCATTCTATTCTATTTTGTTCGTCGCTGTTTTGTTAGATGGGGCTTTCCACTGTATTTCACATGGCAATGCTAAGTACTACTGGGCAAAGAGACAAGCTTTTTTTTAAGAGGGTAGATTCACTAATCGATTCAGTCCTTCTACTGCTCTCAGCGAATCCGTTTTTTTCTATTTTGCTTGCGCTGTTTTCTTCCTAGCCAACTGTATCCGCTGCCCAAAAGAGATTAACAAGAGGCACGAATTCTGACAAATTCATAAACCTCGCATCAGGATGAACAAAAAAAAAGTGAACGCAACGAAAAAAAAAATTATTATTTGGTCTTTTATTTCATCAAATGCAGCCATACTCACCACGAAGCATTTTTTTTTAGTTTTTCTTGTCGTATTTACTCGAAATCACGGCGCGGGGCTTATCAAAGCTTATCGTAGCGGTACTTGAAGTACTATATCAAACATGAGACGCAGTGTTTCATCACCAGATGAAACACCGAGAAGAGAGTTTAAATAAAGACGAACTTATCATCTGTGATGCGGTAATGTTTGATATTTGATTTTTGAAGGAGAAATAAAATTTGCAAATACTAAGCAGTTTTCAAACACAGTAATTTCCTTTGTATTTTCTTAATGAATTATTAATGAGTTTGAGAATAAAATATCTCATTTCCAAACACAGTATTACGTAATCTTTTCTCTGTTTCTTTGTTTTGCCAAAAAACGCTAAGAACAGTGTAAGAACTAACAGAAGTTTTTTCTAAAGCTAACTGTCTCATATTCCCATCAGTCATGTCAACAGTAACGATGTGAAAAGAAAAGCAAAAGTAAGCGTTTCATTGTTGTTGGGGTAACGCAGGACTTGTTATAATTCTGTAATTGCTGTTATTTACAAATCCATAATCAAAATTCTACGAGATTACACTGTACTTAAAAATTATTAGCTTTGATGAATGCTTTTTAACACTTCGGTCTTCAATACTATAACTAACCCAACACAGACGCATTTCTCTCATACCTGATTTTTCTCTCCAATCTCTCTTTCTCTTGACTTAAGTTTATCATTTTCTTCAACTCTTGGCGAGGCATTTCTAACATCCTTCTCAGCTCGCCGTCTCTCTGAATGAGTTCTTCTCTCTCCCGCCTCCAATCTTGACCAGCTGAATTAGCTTCTTCAGTTTGCTGAGGTATGACACTTCCCAGCGATAACTTTTCCTCCTTGCTTTGTGCAGTTTCAGCCCCTGACAGCCAGTTAACACTTGTGTCTGAATACACACCACTGCTATCTGAGCCTGTTGCTGGAGATGGAGGGCGCACCTCGTTGGACGCGCGGTTTTCAAGTTCTTCTGTATAACAAGGGTGTACATCAAACCCTCCACTGTTGACATTGTTTTCTGAGTAAAGGTTACAAGAGTCCAATGGTTCGTTTCTGCTTTTTACGCCTAATAACGAAGGTCCTATGACTGAATGCAAACTCTTGGAAAATCCCGTTGGAGAACTCGGCGGTTTAACAGTGAGTGTGCCACTCGCTGAACTTGTCGCAATGGGTAGAGGAGTACCAGGGGGAGGGGGCAAATACATTTGATCACTTGGTGCTGTTTCCACGTGAGTCTGTGTACGTGGTGTTATATCGTCCCACTCATCCTCTACTTCAATTAAACTATCCTCCCAATCAGAGTGCACTGAACGAGTCTCACAATGATCCTTTAATCTGTCTGTCAATCCTGATATTCAAACGGTAGGAAATGAGTAATTGTTAGAGACCTTTAGATTCGAGGACGAGGACGACTACGAGTACGAGATTTGACTTAAAGTAAAATTTGCGTATTCTCAAATTAATATAGAGTTCCCGGAAAGCTTCAGTTTACCATATTTCACAAGAAAAGTTAGCACTGTTTTCTTAAGTGAAGGAGGTTACGAGCTTTCCTGATCGCAAGATGATGAATCTTCTAGCATCTGACATCTTGTTTTTGCCAGCACGACATTCGCGCTAAAACTCGTAGTAGAGTGACGCCGTCTACCACGTTTTCCCGCCAAAATGACGCTGGTTCTCGCGTGAGCACTACGTGGTATTGAGAAAATCTTGTACTCGTAGTCGTATTCGTCTTAGAATCTAAAGGTTTCTTTTATGTTATCGATGTTTGGGATTTCGAGTTGCAGCAGCATTAATAATCATGTTACAGTCCTGCTTTTTCGAAGCAAATTTATCACTTTCGCATTGAACATAATACACCTTGTTTACCCTCCCCGCTTCCTCTAATATTTTAGATAGCTATTTTCCAACTTTCACCTGGGTATTACAGTCGTCCCAACAGACTTTGAAGACAATGCTTATGAAAAATACTTGGGGTAAACAAGGTGCACCCTATTAGTAATAGTTTTTAATTAAGGCCCTGTTCATGAGGAGGTTAAGTTGTTCCGGGAAAGAAGGTCACCTTCCCTACCGAGTCATCTTTAGCGTTTGCATGACAAAGAAGGTGACACCTTTACCCACACCGCCGAGAGCTTCCAACAGCACTCGCATTCTCTAATAGTCCAGTTTCGAGTTCGCTATGACCGCTGAATAAAAGAACTGACGACGCATTTTTTTGAAGGCTTTGCCTTCATCTGAAGTAAGTATATTCACAAATTCCAACGAGAAGAAGACTCTGTCTATTGTGTATTTTCAAATTTCAAACACTTACTTGCCGGAATTTGTGAATATAATACCTTGAGACTAACCCTTTATGAATGTGTCGTTCATGTTTGTATTCAGCGGTAATTTTTAATAGAGCATTTTACAGTTATGAGCTTAGTACCCTAGCCTCTGAGTGAACTTGAGACTGAGGTTGACCTTGTTTTCATAAAAACCTCTTTCCTTTTCTCATGAAAATCATGCTAAAAAAATACTAGTTGGCATAAGAACAACATGATTATTTACACAATAAAGCAGGAAGAGTTGTATCAAGACAAGGTCAACTCCAGCCTCGTTTGCACCCGTAACTGTACAATGGACTATTCAAAAAAGGGCTATTCGCTACTTGCACGTCTCCCATAATGCACCTCATTTGCCCGCCAAAATTTTGGATAACCTTTGTTCTTTATTTCTCCCGGGTATTACAGCCGTCCCAAGGGAAATTGAAAACAATGCTTAAGCAAAATTTTGGAGGGCAAATAAGGGGCATTATGGGAGATGTGCAAGGGGCGAATTGTCTCACCTTGGCCGTGTTGACCAGTCCAGGTGAGCTAGAGTGTTTTTATAGAGAAAAACTAGGTCGGCTAGAAGAATGATCTGGCTAGGCAGGTCACCCTTCTAGCAGAGCCAACCTCTAAACGGTTCGCCAAGTTTTGCAAGGAAATAGAGGCAAAGTTGGCTCGCAAAGGGTAGCTTGGGGAGGCAAGTGAAGCCAAGTTTTTTCCATGTATACGCGGCCTTAGTTACACGCCATGAATCATGTTAACTTCAGCCAAGGGCAGTCTGGGCCAATTCACTTCTAAAAATATGATTACCTAACATAAAAATGTACAATCACTGCAATACTAGGAGACAAAAGAAAACTCATTACCAGTAACAGGGGAATCGCTGGTTCTCAGATTTTCAGGAGATTTAAAAACTCCTGATTTAAGAGGCGTGACGTAAGAAGCCGAGAGAGAGCACTGGGACAGATCCAGGTCAGCATAACCTAACTTCACCAACTGAACATTAACACTTGAAATTGAGCCAGATTCAAACAATTCAACATGATGTATGCCATCAAGATCTCGCTTTATCACCGATGCTTCCATCACCTAGAAAAAAATAACAGGCCTTGGTATACAGTAGATTTTGTTTCCCTACAGCGCGCACTCTAATTGGCTAGTTCCAAGTCACATAACATCTACTGAAAGATGAAATTGCTTCCCGCCCGGCCGATAGTTATTGGTTGCCAACATTTGGGAGCTTAAACAACGACGACGGCGATGGCAACGAGAATGGCAGAAAAGCAATAGGTTTATCGAAGTTAAAAAAAAGAAGCAGAAAATCTTTGTCTTGTGTTTTCGTCCTCCATAAAAGCTGAAACAAGGACGTGTCACGTTGTAGTCGTGCAACAACGGCAATGAAATGTAAGGTGGATTCATTTGCAACATTCTCGTATAGCTGTCGCATTTGCCCGCTGGAACAGTTGTTCTTTTGCCGACAGCTATACGAGAATGTTGCAAATGAATCCACCTTACATTTCATTGCCGTTGTTGCACGACTACAACGTGACACGTCCTTGTTTCAGCTTTCATGGAGGACGAAAACACAAGACAAAGATTTTCTGCTTCTTTTTTTTAACTTCGATACGGTCCTTCAGAATCAACTCCAGAATAAACTCCAGAAAAATCCCCAACGTTCGAAAAATGAATGACATGGAATACGAGTAATAAAGTTTGAAACGGGGCGAATTCACATTTTAAGTGACGTTTTCGCTGCCGTTGCCGTCATGGTTGCTTAAGCTCCCTATACAAAATCTTTGACATCAAAGGGTACTAGTGAACCGTTAGCGGCCCAAGCTGACCGATACTTCCAGTCCGTCGAGAAGGCAAACTTTTACAGCAAGACTGCAGGGAGCGCCCACGCGCGCGACAATACTGAAGGACAGTTAGCAGGTTAACATCACACGCCACATTACGCTTGATTGAGCAAGTGGTATTTGATTGCACTCAAAACATTTCGACGTCTCAACCGAACCTGAGGAAAGTTTAATACAGTATACATCAATCATAACTCATTTGCTCTCTGGCAATTTCCGTGATCAACGTAAACTTACTTATTACCTCTCGTTTTTGTTTTGATTTAAGCAGGTATTTAACGGTTCCTGTTGTATCATAAGAACTCTTCGTTCCTTCCTTTCTCTTCAGCCCAGCAAGCTTGGCCTTTATTGCATGTCCCGGAATGTTCTTCACCGACGGAGGAAGCTCACACAGAGCACTTAAGGAAACCGTCTCAGTTTTTCCGTAGTCAATATCCTTCACTACGACCTGTTAAACGTATCAGGACAGGTTAAAACCTTTAATGTAGTTTAATACAGTTTTTTTTTTTTAAATAAAGATTTGTTCCCGTTTCTGTTTCTTGAATATGTGTCCGAAATTTAAACTCGTCAAATATCTTGCACAACCTATTTTTTAGTCTTCAAAACAAACAAATTTGCTTCCAAAAATGCCCGCCCTATCGGGCGGCCATGCAGACAAGTACGAAATAGAATAATAGACCTTTTTACCGATACGGCGGCCATATTGAATTAATTCGATTTAAGGAGCGTTATAGGATGCCCAGGGGGCATGAGCGCATTTCGATTGTATTTTCTGGCGCTTTTTTTTTTTAAAGGACATTTTTAAAACGTTTTCTTAGAATAAGATTGGCAATGGGAAAAAAATCAGACCACTAAACAGCAGTAGATAAAACAGACTAAACTTGGTTCCAACAGCGTTTATTCTTCAGCGGATCAACCAGCAATAACTCGGCTAGGACTCGGCGAAATAATCGGCGATGTAATCGGCAATGTAATCGGCGATGTAATCGGCGATGTAATCGAAAAATCAGTAAAAACTAACTTACTTATATATGATTTTTACAACCATTGAAGACAAAAGAATACAATAGAAATATAAACAGAAATCACTTATAGTTAAATGAAAACTAAATACAACTTCTATTTCTCACCTGAAATCTTTTGTTACTGTTGCTATTTTAGAAAGTAAAAGTACTGAGACAAAGACCTAGCCAGGTCAGCAAGACAGCGTTTATGTACAAAGTGTTACAATATGAATAAAATTGCAAGTCCAGCTATCGGCTGTTTAAACAGGAAAAGCGCAGACTAATTAGAAGTTTTCACCTTAAACAAAAACCGATCTATTTTTAAAATTACAAGACAGCAAAACCTTTCATATTCAAAATTCGGTTATCACCTCTCCTTAACTAACAACTTAATGAAATATATTTTCGCAAATAAATATAACTAAGTTGCATTTAGAACGAGGTACACCTGTATCAAAGGCGGCATCAATAGGTGTCGTCTGGTAGTTAAATCAGGAAAAATAGACTGAAGTCAAATAAGCCATTATTAAGAAATTAAGTATTCTTTCGAGAGTCAACATTGACGTAAAATGTATATAATTGAAAAGAGAACGAGCAATTAGTTTTGTTTGTTAAGGAACACTGTTGGCTTTTCTATGATTATAATCTAGCGAACACAAAGCAAATGGAACAAAGGATAATAAAAATGGCACGAGCCTTTTTGCGGAGCTAAAACTTATTTATGCAAATTCAGTATGAATGACTAAGAACAACGTCAAAGCGAATATTTGAAAGCTATATGTGATATTCGAGGCAAATAAAGAATTCATGGAAAATCTCTCCTTACAGAAAAAAGATCCTTGTGCCGTGTTTGGATGTAATAATGATCGCCTTTTTTTTAGTTTAGCATTAGAAATATGGTCTTTCAATGTATATTTCTCGGGAAAAAGGCGATCATTATTACATCTAAACACGGCACAAGGATCTTTTTTCCTATTACAATCTTATTCTAAAAAACTTTACGAAAAACTGTCCCGAAAAGCGCTCGAAAATACAAACGAAATGTGCTCGTGCCCCCTGGGCATCCTATAATACTCCTTAAATCGAATTAATTCAATATGGCCGCCGTATCGGTAAAAAGGTCTATTTGCTAGAATGTAGAGTGATTTAAAACATGGCAGCAAAGAATAACTTCCCAAACATCTTCAGAATCTTCATCTATTTCGCTATACATACATCACTTAACTCCACAAAACACAAAAAAATGTCCAAAACCGGAAGCGACGGCTGAGCAAATCGATTGACGACGTCACATTACGATAACAGCCTTTCTTTGATCCTTTACTCGTTCCCAGTTCCTGGGAAATTTCTGAAGGGGAAAAACCAGTTTTTGGATGGTTAAAATTTAAGACATTTTCTGGGAGACACATATTTAAGGTTCAGAATTGTTAAATAAACTTATATCACGGGAAAAATCAGTTAAAAAAAAAAAATTCGTGTCATATACACTTTAAAGGAATGTTTAATATATAGATTTAGCCAGGGCTAAAAGCGAAGCTCTCGTTAATGTACTTATAATTTACTCAAACGAAAAATAAAATCAAGCAATGCTAAACGGCGACGGCAACGAGAACTGCAAAAAAATCAATAGTCCCTGATTAGCAACAAAAAAAAAAACTTTGCACATGCAGCACACTTTTTTGTTTCTTTGTACATTTCTTTGCCGTTGTTTTGCACGACCACAACTTGAAACTTTCTAGTTACACATTTTATGGAAAAAAATGTCGTATGTGCTCACCAAAGATTTTGTTGCTTGTGTTCCAGTTTCGCTTTTTTTTTTTCTCACTGCTGCTCATTTTTACCTTGCTGACTGCTAGCATTTCTCATTTTTTTAAACGCCGATAAAAAATTTTTATGTTGTTTTTCCTACAAAATTCGTCTACTTTTTTATCTCTCGCTCTAGCTCTTTCTCTCTTATCCACGTCAGTGTAGACATTAAAACTAAGTCCAAAAAAAAGTCGACTTTGTAGTTGTTTTTTTCTCTCTAAAAGTCTGGGTGGCCACGCGATTTCGCGCCAAAATTGATTGAGTTATTTTACATTGGTATTTTACATTGCCTGACATACTTAAACTTAAAATTGTGAATTGTAAATGATATTTTCTTTCTTTGCATTTAATGTATATATATATTTTCTATATAGTTTTTATGTAGTGTCAGCTCGAAGATATTAGCTTCTTAGCTACCCTAAAATTCGAGTTTAAATAAAGTTTTATGTTATGTATGTTATGTTATGTGGTATGCCTGTGGTGCGGACGTACGCGCGGGCGAGTGGACGTACGGTCACGTGACTGCCAAAATTTCTAGGATGCATAGATAACAAAGATAACCAGTGCTCCGCTATTAAGGCACTATCGACTATGGACTGCGACATTCATTATAGAGATTTAAAATCACGTTATTTACGGAAAACGGAAAACGGTGCATCATCAGTTTCACCATCATCAACTTCAATAACGTCACTAGTATTAAAAAAGATTTCAAAATTGATTAATAATTCAAAAAGAAAAAACAAAAGAATCTGCCGCGAGTTTTTAAACCTGATAATACACTCCTACACGTTATTTAAACAGTACTTAATTAAGGCACACATTACAATTAAAGACAGTAATATACAGACGAAATCATACACTTCACTGTTTCCTACTAAATGTACAACATACCTTATCTATGCCATATGTAGAACTTTTTGGAATGGATACGATTTTCACTCGAAACCTTGTACCTTTCCCCGAAAGTTTAACAACAACATCTCCCTCTTTGGGATAAATCTGCAGGTTAAATTGAATAACATACCACGATATTATTTCTGCCCTAACATACGACATCACACAGCATTTCCAAAGAAGTATTACGTGAACCTTTTGTGATCATCGTTTATTTTTGTTGGTAAAATGTTTCGTTAGGACGACGACTAGAATTTGACCAAGCTTTAAGCCAAAAAAAGTCACCAAAACTTTTACAACTGATAAAAAAAAGTAATAACTTTAAGCCCAATATCGTGCGATGGAGTTTTTCTAAAGGTGCAAGCCCAATACCAGTTTTTCTCTACTTTAAAAGCAAGCCAAGGTATTACCCTTTTATAACGTCAAATACTCCCGGCACAGAAATAGTCCACCATCGTCTCTTTTTTCACAAAGGGAGCTTAGTGAAAGCCCAGCAAAAGAAAAGAAAATGGACAAAAGATAAAGAATGGGTAGAAAAGAGAGCAAAAAATAAATGTTAAGATTGTCCCATCTTTTTCTTGTCCAAAAGGAATTAAAAGCTAACTTTTCAATAACGCGTGAACTCTGACCTTTACAATTGCGTTTTTCGCTACCGTCAATCATAATTACGATCACAAACAACGAACCCTGAAACACAAAACGTATCGAAATCTACCAATCACAAACCGTGACCTTTTGAACTCGTTGAAGAAAACTTGTTTCGCAAGACGTCAGCTAAGATGATTGACGGCAGACAGTGAAGAACACGAACGTTAGTTTTGAAAAGCGGAAAGCCCATTAAGTGTCTTTTTTTTTTTTACTTTTACCTTTCCTGCAGAAGAAGGATTGACGCAGTCTTTTAACAAATACTGAATTTTCTTAAGGGAAAATTCCGTATCTTTGTCAGCCAAGAAGAAATAGATATCATCAAGACTTTCAATCTGTAGAGAAAGATATCTATTAATCATCTGTACAACTAAAGTTACTATTACAATACACCAATAAACGAAAAGATTAGTGAGAGCGAGGCAGATATTCGGCTTGTTCCAGCGATGTGCTTTGCGTAAATTTCACGTGATAAAAAGTCCAAACTCACGTGGTCAGATAGCGATCTATGCATTCCATTCATTCTTAGTGGAAGTCCAAACGAATGCTGGCCAAATGCGTGTCACGCATATGTAATTTTATATCTTTATTAACGTCTTGTCCTGCCTAGATTAGCATTATAACTATTTGCAGGACATAAAGTATTGTAACTTTATATTTCACTAAATAAATAAATTGTTGTTGTTGTTTTTGTTGTAATAGCAACCTGAGGATCAGGAATGTGGGCTCCCCCAATGACAGTTTCTTCAAGACTGAATAAGCCTAACATTGACTTTAAAAAAACTCTCGATTTATAGTTATTTCACTATAAGTTTTAAAAGGATTGGACTCCACTTTAGCATCAACATTCAAAGACCGAGAAAAAGCTGTGATAGCATCTGAGGAATGCTGAAAGGATTGTACATTGTATTTGAAATTGAGGGATCATGGCTATCATTCAAGGTAATACACTAAGACGATAAGTTTTCAAAATCGTTGTACTCCAATATCACACAAGTATTGACCTACATTTGAAAGGAAGACGTCCATAATTTCTGACTTCTCAAACAGCTGATTTGGCAGCAATTGTTGTTGACGCTGATGTTCACATTTCCCTCGGCTTCCTTGAGGCGATGAAAAAGGACTTTTGCTCATCTGTGCTTGGTCAGTTGATGCTGATGACTCTTTCCTAGGTAAGAGGTCGTGGCCTCCTGATTGATCAGTAAGAGGTGTGGTAGTGTTGGTCATCTTTGAAGCTGATTGGGTAAACTGTGCAGCTGACTGGGTATCCAGCTGATTGGCTGATTGGGGTACTTGTGTAGATTGATGAGTCTTCTGGGCAGCTACTCTCATAAATGGATGTGGTGGAATGTGACGACTCTCAGACTCCTGTGTGGGCCGAGTAACAGTGGTTTGATGGGATGACAATGGATCAGACTCTTGGAAGGGTTGTTTCAGGTTTGGTATTACTGTTCTCCCGTTAACGTATCTTGTGAGAGCCATCCGGTCATTCACTGATATTTTGCCTTCTTTAAGAGTCAATTCAACTTCTGTAACATGTTCCTATAATATATTTGTAATAATTTAGCATTCGCCATTTGCACATCTCCCATCATACACTTTGTTTGCCCCCTAAAAGTTTGCATAATATTTGCTTTTAATATTTCTTCTGCATATTACTGTCATCCCAGGGGGAATTAAAGATAATGCCTATGAAAAAATTTTGGTGGGACAAACAAAATACATTCTGGGAGACATGCAAATGGCAAATGCATCTTAAGGTTGTATAATACTCAAACTATACGGTGGAAAATTTTAAAGTTAAAAAGTTACTCTGGTTTTTAAAAAATCCGGGGCGCTTTTTTAATATCATTGTAGATTGGATTCCCTCTTTTACCAATATATTCACTTCCGTGTTTAACATCTCTCAATTTTTAAATCTCTAGAATTTGTAAGATCTTTTTATATTATAATCACTACTTGTAAATAGGCTTTTTATCACGATTGCTGTAATTTTAATATTATCAATTTTGTTTGAGGGCCACTATGGAGAATACCTTTCATAGTAATTGGTGTCACCCTATTAAAATAAAGGTTATATAGGTGTACATGACAGGGCTTGTTGTATTTACCACTCAACCTTTCGGAAACATTATTAATTTTACTGGTATTGGACACAACAAATTTAAGCTACGGTAAAATGGGCAACAGAAAAGTGCAACTTGTTTTGCAACATTGCTTCGCAAAGATGCTGCACGTTTTACCACCCAAGAATAAAACCAGTTTTGCAACAAATCCAGTTGTTGCAAGTTGCGTGAATACTGTTAGGCTTCTGATTGGATAAAATTACGGGGGAGTCGCGTCATACACGCGAGTTTAAGTCAATTGCTGCTACCTCGAGCCAGCAAAACGCGAAACATGTACAGATTTTGTTGCAAAAACTAACTACTTTCTAATTTCTGCAACAACTTTTCGCAACTTGCAAAAAGTTGATTTCTTGCAAGACAGGTTTGAATGGGGCTCGTAAAACGCACAGCAACGCTTTTACACTCGTTTTGCTGCAATGTTGCAAAACAAGTTGCACGTTTTTGTCAACCGTTTTACCTAACCTTTAAAAGACTTCGTCATATTTTTGATACTGATAGTTTGTACGTGATGTCACGGCAGCCATGTTGGTGGTCAAGAACAAAAGCATTTCTCTCCTCTGAAAACTTAACTCTATTTTCATGTAAATTCTTCGAGAAAAAATTCTTTTGTATTGACCCCCAACATCGCCGCCTTGTCACGTGGTTGCACACCACGAATTACCGTAAAACCCTAAAAACATAATGGAATCAAAGAAAACCCTGCCATAATTATCAAGTTTTAACAAAGATTGTCCAACTACTATATTTGCTTTTAAACTGATAATGCTTCGTTTTCCCTTTGTTACTACCATCTAATACAAATGTATCTTTCTTTTCAATTTAGATGACTGAGAGTCCTTAATTACAATTTCAAGTCCGCTTTCTCCAAATATTGTGAAACTCCAAATGGAAATACTGCACAATAACCATCATTTTAACTTTTTTGCATATTTTTTTTAAGATACTTTTTTTAAACTTCCACATAGTCAATCAGCTACCTGATTTGACTCCTGCTGCTTTATCTTCCGTGCCCTGCAAACTTTATCACAAATCAAATTCCTCAAGTATATGGACCCTTCATTTGCTATATTTGGTCCCAAATTAGATGCAAGCTCCAGACCTAAAAAAAGGCACACAAACACAACTATCAAGAATGTTCACTGGTAATTGTAGTCTGCAAATACAGCCTTCTCTCCTCGCCCCGACCTTGATGCTAAGGATGTTTTGAGGGAAAGCCAGTGACCAAAATTCCATACAGATGAAGTATATAGTTAATCTGGAAGCCATGGTCTATTGCAGATACCTTTTGTGTTCTTCTGAGGATGCCCAGAAGCAAAACTTAAATGCCTTTGTCAAAAGATGAATATATTCCACGAATAAAGGCTATTTGTAGTAGATTCATGGACACACTATTGAGGTTTTGTCAGATTTCTGTCATTCGTATAGACTCCCCGCAGACGTCCTTTGGGGTTCGTTTGTCACGCAGCGTGACAAATGAACCCCAAAGGACGTCTGCGGGGAGGCTATCATTCGTAAACAACAGTTAAAACAATATAACTACTACTGTATGTCAAAAACAGTCAGAGCTCCTGACCAGACTGTAGATAGAGTTAACGACATCAGTAAGGGATTTTTTTCATTGAGCCGCAGATGTCTCTCCTGTGAAACCTTCAAAGCAGCAAGAAGCAAGGAGAGATGGCAACACCTCCCTTTAGTAAAAGAATGAACATAAAAAGCGACAAACATTAGGGTTTAAAGATCACCAAAAATTCAACTCACCAGCCAGCTTAAAAGGTATGGCTTGCGGAGCTAAGTCCCAAAATCTCTTATGTATATCTGTAAATTGGTCCCATGAAATCCATTCACAGTTGCCATAATCAATGTAAAACACTTTAACTTCTTTCCTTGCCACTGATGATACTTCCAAACACCAACATCTAGTTGAAATAATGACATTTGATCAATGAGTGAATCTGTTACTTTGCAAAATTATGGCACCAGGCATGAGTTGAGGCGAAGACATTAACCTCTTGTCTCTGTGCCTAATGTACGGTAAAACTCATTATAAGGACACTATTAAGGTGCCTAAGCAGACTTACTTCTTATTTTGTTCCAAATACCAAAAATTAGTGAAGAAAAAGAACGTGGAGTCTCTTATCAGCTGTTCTTTGAAATGTTATGCACACGTGGGGAGAAGTTAAGTACATATGATGACACAAAATTTCTTTTGCTTCATTTTCATACCTCAGTACCAGATTGTATAGTAACACAACAGCTGCTAAAAAAAAGTTGTAACTAATCATAACCTGATTTGGAAAGTCTGGGCTTTGCATGTTGCCAGCTACAATTCTTCTTTAAAGTTACCAACTAACACATAATCGTCACTGGTTTTCTTATGGGCAGCTGACATAGCCTGCAAAAACATCTGTTTCTCCTCGCTCTTTACCGCTAGGGACGTTTCGTGCGGAGGAACATCTGCGACTCAGCGACAGAAATTCCATACTGATGACGTAAAATCTTTCCGGAATCCGGTCAGAAGCTCTGATCGGTCGACGGAGTGGTTACATTGTTCTAGTTATTGTTTATGAATGACAGAAAAAAGACAAAAGGTGACAAAGGTCAAATGTAAACGAGAAGAATCTCTAACAAAACTGTCAATATTTGTGGAATATAGTCTCCTCTAGAGGAAGCATTTGAGTTTCGCTGAAGCTCGTTGACAGATGAGCACAACACTTTGCCAAAATCGACCAGAAGACACAAATTTTTTTTGGACAAATTTATATTTGGAGCCCTAAGAATGTCTGCGTGGGAGGCTACCTGACTGCCGGACATTGATTTGCATCATCAGTATGGAATTTCTGCCCCTGAGTCACAGACGTTCCTCTGCACGAAACGTCCCCAGTGGCTAAGAGCAAGGAGAAATGGATGTTTTCACAGGCGACAACTGACACTCTTTTTTTACTAATTGAGTACTTCTTTTCTTGAACCAAACGTTGGCAAAATTGTAAATTAACTTGAATGATTGAATGAAATCAGTACCTGTACCACTTGTTGTCCTCTGAGTACCTGGCAGCACCAAGTTGATACTTGACAGGCATACACCTTTTGTGATGTTCCACAATCTGAAGATCAGTTTTGACTTGTTGCAGCTCCATGTAACTCCCACTCTGCATATAAAAACATCATTTTTTTCTTTTACATTAGCAAATTGTTTCATGAACATTTCAACAGCCATATTTTTTTGCACGCAGCTGTCCTGGTAAATGCAATACTTTGTTAAAATCGACAAACGATGATGATGATGATGATGATGATAACACTGTGTCAATGTATGTAATGTGATGTATACAATTAAACATCGAAATCTCTCACCTGATCATCAACATTAGCCCAGAAATGGCAAGAATCAATCACTTCTGTCACAAGAACCTCGAACTCATCTAAAGCAATACTATTTGGATTTTTCATCGGTTTGCCGCATCTTTGCATAAGTTCACACATTTCCTCATAGCTTAAAAGTGTACGCACAGGAACCCCTTGTTTTGAGGACTCCGAATTAGCACTAGAGCATGCATTTTCACCGAAAGCGTTTGTACATTGTCTCTCTTTTTCCTCGTGTAAACACAAATCATTTGTGACACCAAAGACACTGTTGTAAGTCCTCTGTTTTTCTCTAGCCCCACTCCCATCAGTTGTTCTGTTTTTGTTCACGACAGATTTTACAACATCACATAAGATTCCAGCATGCGTTAACCCATGATCACTGTTGCCTAATTCAAATCCACCTTCAGAAATGCTGCAGTTCACAGGCGACTGAGGATCACAGCTGGAGACAGAGCTCTGGCTAGAACCACGGCTTAGTGCAGGTGCACCTCCTAAGGAAAGACATCAAAGTAATAATTAATTGATACCACATAGGTCCTTACTATCAGATATGTGTCCCTTTTGAGTAGCAAAAATTTATTCCTTTTACACTCTTAAAAGACATTCACAATTTTACAGTAATGTTGTCTTGTGCTTTAGAGATTATTTTTAGGGAAACTAAAAGAAACAAGCATGTACATGTATGACAAAATGTTGTGCATTTCAGTTATACTAAAAATGCCTGAAAACTTTCTACAGTGTAACAAAGGTAACATTCTTGGTTTGACTTCATCACAAATTTAAGAATAAAGATTTAATTCATTTCAAGTTAAATTGGAAACAACCATATCACAAGTAGGGAATTAACCATGATTTATTTCCTTACCTGGCAAATTAAGCTGCCTTGTGGCTTTTTCTTTTGATATAGCAGGGGTAACTGTCAAAATTTTGTCGCCTAAACGAACTTTCTTCTGCATTGCCTGCAAAGTGGTCACGGCCTCTTTTTCTTTTGCAAAGTATATAAAGGCATATCTACATGTACAGGAATCAAATACAAAGATCTAGAATACTTAACATAACAGTTAAGATAAAAAATAAAACGTTTATTCCAAAAAAAAAATCATTTAAACTCACATTGTCAGAGACTGTGCAAACTTGGTACTTACTTTTCATGGACATCTACACGAATAACTTTCCCACATCCACTGAATATTTGCTTAAGAGTTGACTGAAAACAAAGGAAAAGACACTGAGGAGTTGCAAAGCTGATAATCTTGAATTTTGTTTAATAATAATAACAACCCATAACCTCACACTTTGCTCAAAGTGTACATCGGGCAATTCCAGATTCCAGGCTTCCACATTTTCACACCCCTTACCTTCAGAATATCCAAAATGCGTCATCCCCCATGCCTTCGGAATTCCATAATTATGACCCCCCTCCCCCCCTCCCATTCAGATTTTCCAGTTTTTCATCAAACCCTTCAGAATAACTAGAGGAAGTTCGCAAATATGCCCAATTTGGCTTATTTTATGCCAAAATATTTCAAATGACTCCACTTCTTCACTTCAGTACAGCTGGTTACAGACAGGAGTCATTATGACTGCACGGGCAATGAAAATTTGAAAATCTATAGAAGTTTTCTCCTTAGCACTGTTCAAGAAATGCAACCTGCATTAACTTTACATTGCCCCAACTAGTACGGAACATTAACATAAGTATATCTTCTGATCAACATGTGTACACTCAGAAGATTATCTAGATCGAGTGGACGATTGAGCTTTCATTTCCGCCACCTCAATTTAGGGCCTTAAAGGTCAGCAGTTGCACCCAATTTGGTGGTGTCTTCAGATTTCCAGTTCAAAGAACCCCCTTGCCCTCAGAATTCCAAAAAGCTATCCGTGGTATGGTATGGATATTTTCTGGAAACCCCCATTAATTTGTAAGATTTGTGCATTAGATAAAGTCGACCAACCACATGTGACAACCTCTCGTAAGCAGCCACCTCCTACATGCAACCACACATCCAAAATACCAGAATTCTCTTAATCAAAGCCCTTTAAGTTAGAACCTTTTGTAAATGACCACCTCCTGTAAGTGCCCACGGCCACATTTTGGTGTATGCTATGTCACTCACAGTATCCAAAGACACTTCAATGATAATTACGGAACCACACATTTTGCAACTTAGAAATTGCCTGCAATGAAGTGTCTTCCGTAAAGTACATGTTAATGTGTCTGTACCTCTTTTTGAAAGAGACCACTATGGTGCAATTCTTGTAAATGACCACCTCTCATTAGCGACAACTAAAACTTTGCATTTTATTTTTGGGTGGTAGCTTATGGCAGCTGGTTCGACTGCATTTGTTTTTGTGATCCACTTACCTGGGCAGTTCCAGGTGGAAAGTTACTAACATGAATAGGATAACCACCATTCATTTTACTTATACAACCAGCTAAATTTTCCATGCCAAAAAACTTGTTTTTTCCAGCAACATCTGACTTTGGTGACACCAAACCACCATCTGTCTCCCAATCCTCAGAGGAAGCAATCTGTACAGTTTGCAATTCATTTTTTGGAGGTGACTTATCCTCTATGCGTTTAGCAGTAGCTGAATTTCCCTTCTTCTTTGCCGAGTCTTGCTTAGATTGCTTTTTTCCATCCTTGCTAGCTTTACCATTTCGTTCAATAGCTGGATTAATTATCAAACTGAAGCCTTGAAAATTAAACCCATCCATATCACGAAGAACTTTGAGGGCATCACCATAAGTAGAGAACCGTACAAAGGCTACCCTGGGAGATGATATTAAGATTTTCAAGGCAAAAATTTTGGAAACAGCAACAACAAATTTATTGTACCCAAAGCATATTATAGTTATTTTACAAGTAAGGTATTGTTAAATTAATCAATTACTAAAAGGGGTACTGACTTCCTGAAATAAGTTACTAATAAGTTAAAAATGTCAAGAAGCCAGATTCAGTAAGATGTTTATTGTGCAGGGTACAATATGGCAGCATATCAGACTGTATACACACAAACACACAGATATATACATAGTGCAGCTATTTCGAGAAAGGTTGTTGGATAAAGCACATGCGACAACCCCAAAATTATGTATTGTGGGTAGTTTTGAGTTCACTGTTTTTCAAAGAAATTTCGGAAAGAATGGCAGGAGAGGCCATGGACATATGTCTGCGAGCGCTAAAAGAAAGCAACGAAAATAGGTTCGACAGCTATAGTGTCAGGAACAGTGTATTGAGCATATCCCATAACACCTTTAGGGATTGTCCCATGCACATTTTTTCTGACAACCTTTCTCGCAATAGCTGTTACACTAGCACATATTATACAGTTATATGATTTGCAGACATATTAACACAGAAATTACATAAAATATAGAAAATTACATTAAAATGTTGCATGAAGAAAAATTGCAGCCATCTTGTTTCACCACTGCTGACCCAATTTCAAAGAGTAAAATGTGATGTAACAAGTTACCTACGAGAAAGAAACTACAGTACAATCCCAATTTCTCAAACCCTCCATTTTTTGAAATACCTGATAATCAGAACCTAACTTCCGTTCTACACCGTAATTTGACCCCATATTATTTTTTTCATATCAGCCAATAATTTGAGCCAATTTGCTTTTCCCAAGGTGGTTCAAAAAATCAGGATTCCAATGTACAGTAAAGATACTTAACCATTCCACTTCTAGAAAAGTTATGGTAAGATGATTTATTTGCCCATCCAACATTTTTTTTACTCCTATTCTGTGGACAAAATCTCATGGTGTTACCTTTTAAAAGTAAGCTCTATGGTAAAGTGTAGTACTTGCAAAATAATGGAACCATTTAATTTTGGGGGACCTTTGCCACTCTTAGGAGTAAATGGTTGACACAATTCACTAATCACAAAATGTATTATGGGTGAACAACATATCAAAATGTTATTACAATAACATGTAGGGAAAAAAACTTACCGATTACGAGAACCCTCAATCTTAACTTCAACCAAGCTTTTGAAATTCTTAAAGATGCTCTTTATATCACTCTGCAAGAAGGAAATGTATTTAAACCTTACATGTTTGGCATAATCCTAATTAATGTCACTATTCCGCTTAAGATACGCATGAAAAGGTAACACAAACTAAATAGCGCATGCAGGCAAATAAGACAATTACTACAAGATGGCGTAATAAGGGGGACACAGCCCTGTGGCAGGTTCTAGCAACTTCAGGATATGCGCACAGCAAAAACACAAGCCCCACTTATTGCCCCACTACCATGGCATAGGACAAGAGTACTGGCAGAGCCTTTCTTATCTCCCCAGCGCCGCACGGCTGGATTGGACAAGACTAAGGCAAATGAATAAGATGGCAAGACACAAGAAATTCCAAAAGCTTGGGGGAAGTCACAACGCAGACTTAACCGCACCACAAGGAGTGACCCCCCATCTTTATTGATACATAGCACAACAAAACTCCTCCATAGGGAGGGAGGGTGGGTAACAAAATTACTGTAACTGTTTGCTTTCGTGCAAGCTAGACAAATAAAGACCAGGTCTGAAACAGCAGAACTTTATAGCTAGACAGTGCCTCAAGTCTCGACCAATGAATACAGTTGTACCATAAGCTACCTAGTCTTATCATGATTAAAGTCTAGTCATGAATAGGGCCTTGAAAACAGGGACCAATCTGCACAATGCTAAGAAAAATATGATGACAAACAAACGACAAATTAGTCAGGTTCCAACCACGAACAGCTTTTGTTTGTATCTTAAAGTTAGAATGCTTTCATTCATAGATCGAACAGAGGATACATTGGGGCAGGCTACCTTAGCCTACTCCCCCCTGGGGCTTCATGTTCCATTAACTGCATTTACCATCTTGTAAATGTCTTATAAATGTTATAATATTATATCTTTTAAAAGACTAACATTTAAGATAAGAGTTGGCAGACATGCAGCTGAAATATGTTCTGTTCTGCCCCCTCCTCAGTAGACAGACCCCTGGGTATTTGACTTTTTTGACAAATTTTGGTCAAATTTCCTGGTACATGTATGTTGGCAGTTGAGATGGTAAAATGCCGTACCGCCTAGCACTTCAAACAGCGTCAAGTCCCCCAACCACCAGTAACTATTCAAAAATTTTCCTTTGTGTCATATCCTACTAAACACAACTGAAATAACTCAAGGGTGCATTCGATTGGGAAATCTGGATTTGGATTTTAAAATCCGAAATTCGGATTTACAATTGAACGCGAAATACGAAAACGGATTTCAATGATGAGATATCTGTTATTGGATTTTTATTTTTACTGTTCGAATGGGAAATCCGCAAAAGGATATGAAAAACTGTCCTTAAGAAAAGCGGTCTTGTACGTACACGCAAAATTAGCAAAAAGAGGACCGCTGTTAAAGAGAACAGTTTTGTAAATCCTTTTTCAGATTTCCCAATCGAACAATAAAAAAAAAATCCATGAAATTCGGATTTGGATTTCTTAATTGAAATTGACCCCGAGGACAGATTTCTCGGAGGTGAAATCCATTTCACGATTCATTGCAAAATCCAAAATCCAGATTTCAAAATCTAAATCCGGATTTCCCAATAGAACGCAACTTAAGTCTCGCAAAGCTGTCTTTTAGAGGTTTGTTTATTTTAATAAAATTTATTGTTCATCCCAGAAAGCCCAGTTTTAACAGGCTTCTTCAAAGGCTCTCAAATGCTCCAACAAAACAGTGAATATAGAAGCCATGACCCATGAATAGCTTGCATCACTGACCAGCGTTTGGCCAAAAGACACAAAAGTCAAATGCGCAACCCAGCAGACCTCATTTTAGATCAAATCCCCCACTGAACGGAGCAAAACTCCAGTCAAATACCCGATGTATGGCCGGTGTTGGATTATTGATTGGTACATTACGCGCGTGTTTCATGCGTGTAATCAGCCATATTGTTGCTGAAAACCACGCGCGCAACACCCGTGTAAACAAATACACAACCTTACCTGCTGGCAGTTGGGAGGTAAATTCTTAACATGAATGGCGTAGAGACCTGAGGAATTTGGCATTATCTTCTTCTTGGAGTCAGATTCTGTACTCACGGATGTTCTTTCATTTTTGTTCACATTTCTAGGCCATTGTGATGGATGCAGGGGTTTTAATCCATTTGGAACTCCCATGTTCTTCTTTGCATGGTCTGAAATAAAAATTCCCTTTTCTACAACACCAAATACTTTATTTTCTCCATCCTTAGGCGAATACTCCAATCTAGCGACGTCGGGAATAGCCAACAAAAATTCATATAAGTCTTGGAACCCATACTTCTTCACGTCTAGTTGCGAGTCATTCAATTTCTTGTAGTCCCTCGGCAAATCTGTTTGCTTGATTCCTTTCTGGCTTAACAGGACGGCCCTCAACGCAGCCTTGACCAGTTGAGGCACTTCTTTAGCCATTATAATTCATAAGAAAGTTGAAATAAGGCAAACCATCATTCCGATAAATCCACACACATTGGTTTGAGCTGTTGTTGAATCCCACGTGAATTCGTCAGCGGTTTCCAGTATATCGCAGGCGCGACAGAAGATGAACGTTTCAATATTATAGATTTTCAATAATTTTAATAATACAATGAAATTATCAGTTAACGAGGGAAAATGGACTGTTTTGTGAGATAGGAACTTTGCTACTATTCAACTGGTTTTGATTTCAGAATTTGCCTTCAGGCCTATCGAGAAACGGGCCCCAGTTCTTGTTCAAACGTTTTTTTTTTTTCTTGAAAGGTGCTTGTTTGAAAACACAGGCGACTTGCAAAAACTAACAAGCTAAGCACGCCAGTCAGTGAAGATGCTAAAATAGAGACTGGAATGGACTAGATAAGAGAGTTCTCATGTTTTCAGCCCATCTTAATAGTTCCATCAAGAGCAATACTTAAATTTAAATTTAGGGCCAGTACATTCGGAATTGTCTGGTTAGTGAGGGATAATAACGGCACTCAGATTCAGTGCAAAACGTTTGGTGCAATGGTCGGTAACGAGCTATATATATTATATAGGGCGTGTGATTCGAGACACGCTACTGGAAAAATTCTTTTGAAACGTTCGGTTTAACTTTTGAAGTATGTAGCGATGGACTGCCACTAAAACGAAGAGAAGACCGTGCGCATGCGTTTGAGTTGGCAGAATAGGGACCTTACGATCCAACAATGGTGACGCCGATGAAAATGTGGAGAAAATAGACATCGCAACCTTACAAACTTTTTTGCGATTTTTCTAAGTCGACCAGTTACTTAAGAGTAACTCGAGATTTGGTCATTTCCCGTCGTAGTTGTGCAGGGAAGAAATTTAGAAAAAGCGTGATGCACAAGCAGAATTCTTGTACTGACTGTCTATTGCTTTGGTTCCCGTCGCCGTCGCCGTCACCATTGTTCTTTCGTAAAGTACCTAATAAGATGGCGAAGGCGTGACTAGTGCACCTTTCGCTTGACGAAAATTTTGGTGCAAAGTTTCTCTTTTTTTGCGTACAGTGTTTTAGACCCAGAGATTTCTAAAGGGCCTCGCGATATATAGTGCAGCGTTAACAACGCGCAGGCGTTCTTTTGAAAATGCACTCCCTTCGATTCTTTCTGGCACCAATCCTAAACACCACCCTAACCATGCCATCTGCAAACTCCTATCAATCCAATTTACGTGGGAGGTGTAAATAGAGTCATGAGGCAGGGAATCCCCTGCAAATTCATAACAAACATTTTTAAGAGCCCCACATTTATTTCAAGTATTTATCACAAGAGTATATTTGACCTCCTTTATCTTCCAGCAGCTTTGTCCTTCATTACCTACTGATGGTATGGATGAAATAATCACTGGAGCCAATGTGCAGTGTTTAATTCTTGGTCAATCAGGAAAAATAAGGTTGGTCTACATTGGAAATAACACAGAGGATAACTTCAGGGACGCAATTAAAAATCTGCTGACATTTCAGGTCGACAACATTGCTGAGATTGATGGACAAGGGGGTGAAGTTGGTAAAACCGGTACGAAGAAACACGTTCTTAACTCCTTAGGCTCGCAGCAATTTACTTTCTCAAAGGTTGATAACGTTTCATATTATCAAGGCATCGACGTTATCACAAGTGTCAATCTATCGGCGTTCCTATCTGGACCACAGGCCACCCTTGACATCATGGTGTTACTGTTTCTTCAAGAGGGGAATGTCACCTTTGGCAATGAATCGTTTGCAGTGTTCAAGGGAACCTTCGTGATTAACATCAAGGCTTAACTTAGTTTACTTGGCGATCACCATGAAATAGTCATTCATAACCCAAGACAATAAAAAACCGCTTTGACAGTTAGAAAGTTAGAAAATAATCTCTTTCAATCCCCTTTCAAGGAAACTTTGAGCTAATTTAATGTCATAAACACCGTAGGAAAAGATACCAACGTGTTCCAGAAGTACTGGTATTAGATTCGTACCATAGATACAGCACCTGAGGATTTATTGGAAGCTAGCTAATGGCGTGGAGAAAGACGGGATTACTCGCAATAAAGAAGAGGCTGTAAATTATAATCTTCCTACAGCTTTTCACATCGATCATAAGGGCAACTATTTACTTTTAAAGATAAAATCTCTGTTGAATCAAATCTTTTAACGGTTTAGTTTTCGAATAGTCGTATTATCTTGGTACCTTGTTGCCCTTGTGATGGCAAACATAACTTTGACCTCGTTTATATGGATAAAACTTGTCACAGGTAAATCATAAAAGGATCAATAGCCTACCCGATCTACCCCGGGCAAGCCAACGTTTCTTACATTTGACAATAAACCTTAGCAAACCGTTGACAAGAGAAGCAAAAGGTTGCCTCGGCTAGAAGGGTGACCTTCCTAGCCAGGTGCAAACCCTTTTGTGATGGTAGGGCTACCCTCGCCTCACCCTCCTATTCGAGAACGTTTTCTCCATATAAACACTTGCTCGGCCACTTTTTGGCAACTTCTCTTACTGTTCGAGCAACTTTTTGCATTCACGCTGAGCAATTCCTCTAGTTATCTTCTAATTCTGGGTTATCGGAGCACCTTTCAGTGCTTAAATAGGTCTTTCTTCCATATTTCACGATGTTTAGTAGACAATTTATGAATTTCCTGTCAAACAAAAAATAAAAAATGAGCCAAATCCTACCCCCTGAGATCATGGGCGCAAGATAAAAGTAGCCGGCCTACTAGGTCAGCGGTTTTTGTAGAAAATTCAAAATGTGGACGAAGACTCACACTCGACTGACTTGAGTGCCTTGGCCCTTGGGTGCACGTGAAGAAGGTCATTCAACAATTTTATTGGCTCAGTTGGTTTTTATTGAGGAAAAAGTTATTTAGCAACGCTGGTCACGCCGCAAAATTGCACAAAAATGCTTAGAAATCTTACTTTTTTTGTACAATTTGCATATTTTAACATCAGACTAAAAAAATGTTTTGTTATTTCGAGCAACTTTTAAGCAACTCTCGTTACAAAAAGCAACTTTAAATGGTTTTGTGAAAAACGTTTGACCAACGTTTTGAGATATTCTTGAAAACATTTTGGAAAATCTCGAGCAACTTGTGGAAAGCCCTACTTTGGCTCGCGCAGCCTGGTGAAGTCGGTTAAGACGAGACAATCGATATCACAGCTTGCACGAGCGTTTTTTAAACAATCAGAGCGCTATTGGGTCTGGCAAAGGGGTCAGTTTTTACTTTTTTCTCATATAAACACTCGCTATACAGTTGATTCCGCTTGGAGGGTCATCCTCTTTCCCGGGGCAACTTTTCTTCACATAAACGGTGCCTAATGTTCTCCATACATTGAGGATTGGGAATTCTGTGATGCAGAACTGAACAACTGCCGAAAGGGTCAAAGAAAGGAAACTGGTGCATTTATTGATCTTACACTTGCAATCAAAAGTAAGGGAACTCCCAGGAAATTGACCCTACAAGAGCGTGGCAAATCAGGAAAAAAGCCTTTTTGTTACAAGAAGGATAATACAGAATGCGCGGAGAGTTACGAAATAGGCGGAGGGACCGAATTTCTGCTTAACTAAGAGGTACGATAACTCCATCTGGTAACATTTGCTTGTCACGGTTGTATTGATTCTAAATAGTTCCAAAAGTCCCAACGCGGCGTTATCTAGCGTTTTTTTCTCATCCTCAAAGCTAAAGTTGTGTGTTTATTATCATATATGAAGGAAGTTAATCTCATTTTTTAACTCTGCGCCCGTATTTCAAATGTATTTACCATCCCTCTCTAATTGAAGGGTACAACACTGGGGTCAGCACTCACCGTCCGCATCAGAGAAGTGTCTCACTTATTAAGAGTAGGGACCAACTCTAAATTAAATGTCCGTGCGGTTACAAAGTAGTATTTCCTTCTGCATTCATTGTTCGCGAAGACCGTGAGATTTTGCTGAATTTTGCTTATACCTTTTTATATTCGCCCCACGAAAAGTAATTCAAGACATTCTTGGATTTTAGATTCCACAAGGCTACTGGATTCCAGCCAGATTCTGTGTCAGTGGAACTTGAATTCCGCATTCTAATCGTTAGCGGGATTCCCGTTTCCTAGAGCTGAATTGCGAATTCCAAAGCTCATGATTCCTCGAATTCCACTAGCAAAAATTTCCTGGATTTGGCCTTACTAGTACTTTACTGGGACGATAATATTTTAACTTTGTTTTCGCACAGGTTTTGCTTGACGGCGAATCTGTAGATATGCCTGATCTATTCCCTAAATTTAAGATGCAATTAGCAAGAAGCTGTGAATGCTTGATCTACGAAATGCTTTTTATCCAGGAAAAGAAACCCAAACTGAACACTCAATCAGACTCAATAAAAGCGAAACTTTTTAGTACCTAATTAACACTCGCTACATTCCATATTGTAGTTTTTAATCACGTGCAACGAGACTTCACACGCATTCTTAATATATAAAGAACTTTTAACAATCTAACCTTTTTAGAATTTGAAAATGATGAGCTAGTCATCGAAACGTCATTCAAAATTTTTATCGTTGATTTTTATTCTTAAATGTTTATCGAAAGCGTCTGTTATTAAAAAAGGTCATGTCAAAATTAACAATATACCCTACTCTACTGGCAAGCGATAAGAGGCAATTAGATAAAGGTGTGTGTTTTCCCTAAGATTCTACGAAGAAGAAAGAAGGACGCCCGTAATGGCAACAATTAAAGGGGCTTTTTGTACCTAGAAAAGCAGTGCAGTATTAACGTGAAGCTTCTAACAGTATTGATACTCCCCCTTGGGGGATGGGATGCATGTTATTGCATCGCAGTAGTATCTCGTCGGACTGTCGAGACCGTTTTTTTGGTCTAAATGAGTGACCTTACCTACAGATGAGAACTTAGGAGTGTTAACCGCTCGGCTATCATGCTTCGATTCCATAGTGTGGCACTTAAAGGGGACGTGTGATAGAATGACGGAGGAGGAGACCATGGAGAAAGTAAAGAGAGTGGAGGCAGCCCACAGTGGAGGAAAAAAAGAAATCGAAGCAGAGGAACCAGGCGTGGAGGGTGCCGATGATAACATACCCGTTATACTCCCCCACCGGCTCTATAGTCAACATAAAAGATTTGCCCTTGATCCCTGCATGTCGATTGCATACATGTACTCAGACGCAGGCAAAAGCGTGAGATCAGCTTGAAGTGAGGCAGGGCTGCAGGGCCTCAATACCATTCTGCTGGAGATCTTCAAATACAGGGACGGCCACGACATTATTCTCCGATCTCGCCACCAAGCAAAGAGGGGCTTCGCTATAAGAATTTAGAGTCCATAGTTTGCTTTCCAACATCATTCCGGTGTCAATATAAGAAGACCAGTCAAGCCACACTACTTTGTTTCATTCAACTGATTTTTATCAACCTGCGTGATTTGCAATCTGCATAAATTGACTTCCTTCCAAGGGATAACCAGTCTGGCGTTAAGGTAAAGCGGCGTAATGTTGTCTAAACTCTGACCTTAATACTCATTATTGAAGAGAAAAAAATCTTATGTCAGCGGTACTAATCTTTGCTGCTCACAAGGCTTTTTGACTCTATAAAAACAGGCAAAATCATACAAACATTAAGGTCCACAGTGTCCCTGACTATGCCTACTTCCCCAAGCCCCATCAAGTCATGTACCACGGGAAAGTCAGAGTTTTGTTTTTCTCGATGGTGATCATGCATATGACATCCTCATTGGACATCGTTTCTCCTTATTGTTGAGCCAGATTACGCACTTAGTCCCGTTAACGAAAGTGGCATTTGGACTCACTATATACCATTCTGTTAATTATCCAGCAAAGTCAGAGTTAGGACTCTACTGCACCTAAAAAGGAATTTTATTGGCCTTATTGGATATGACGTCTAAGCCGTTAAATTGCACTTTGGATACTATACCTTCCTATTTAATCTAAGTTCTAACTATAATCACTAGATTTAATAATATGTTGCCTGGTCTACAGGCATATTATTTTGGCAAGCGAGCAATTAATTATGTTCATCATAAAGCCTTTAACTCCTAAAATTTCCTCACTTTCGTAAAAGCGCAAGATTCTAAAGAACAAATATCATCATATGAAATGAAAATAGCGCCCTGCAGGTTTCATTTGAATGATTACATCATGATCATGGGTTTCATTCACAGACTCAAACGTTTAATTAGAACTACACTAATTTTCATATCTCCATAACTTACTCAAAGAGTCAAAGAGTTCTAACCAGAAAAGATTGGGGCTAGTGAACAAAATGCAGGTAAATCTAGTTGTATCTCCACTTAGACGCAGATCTAGAGTGTTTTGAGCCGTGACCGAAAGCAGTTAGCTTTCTGACAATAAAAGGAGGAGTGTAAGTTGACGGACGTTTTAGCGCTTCAACGCACAGTCAGGAGACCTCTAAGACGTACCGCGCGTCCTCGCCGCTTTCGTTTCGCCCCATGCAAGGAAATCCGGATTCTGGAATCTGGATATTTTTGCTTGTAGAATATGCCGAATCTTGGGCTTTCGAATCAGGAATACAGCTCAAGGAATCCGCAATCCCACTAACGATTGAAATCCAGAATCCAGGTTCCACTGACAAAGACTGGAAACCAGTACCTGGAATCCGTAATCCACAGCGCCGTGGAATCCAGAATCCAAAACTGTCTTGGATTACCTTACATGGGAACTTTATCCATTTACCTTTCGTCCTAACTTTAACGATTTACGAAACCACGATGGCACCTCATTAAATATGTAATAGAAAGTGAACGCTTGCCGATAGAGAAATGAATTCAGCCCGCGCTGCAGGCTTTGATGAATTACTTTGCAACCAAATTATACAACGTGTATATCTTATAGTAGAAAGTTACGTAATACAGTCGAACCTCTACTAACCGCGGCCACCTCTCCACAATAGGGAGCTTAACCAGCAACGTTTTTGAGCGACGCACGTCAACCGGAAGTGGCCTTTTTTCATTTTTTGACGGTGGTTTCGCGCAAATTTTCAGTCAAATCGCCTCTATAACAGTAAAGAAGCTAAGGAATACAAATTTTATATCATCAAGGCATGTTAAGAGGGAAAATACCTCACTTCCGGTTGACGTGCGTCGCTCAAAAACGTCGCTGCTTAAGCTCCCTATTGTCCATCTCCCTACAACTTACAACGGCCGCTTTCGGTGGCGCATCCAGGCCTTCAGATAAGGGTCGGCCAGGTCATCCACACTCTGAGATAAGGGGGGCCCAGGTCTCGACAAAATTTTTTTTCGGCCTCTGTGGGCCTCAGTTTGGTCTAAAATTAAGGGGCTTTCGTGTGGGGTACACTCCATATATTGACTCTTGTTTGAACCTCTCTACAAACAACGGCCACTTTCTTCTGTCCGCAAGGTTGCCGTTGAGGAGAGGTTCAACTGTTTAAAAACAACAACTAAAGAAGCTTTGATGATTATCATCATGATAATAAAATACTAATTTGGGAACCGATCTCTTGCTGGTGTACTTCTAATTTCACTTAACTCCCCATGTTTGGGTCAGAGTTACCACCACCTTCCTGAATTTTTGAAGTAGCTCTGGTAGTATTAAAATGGTTTACAAATTTGTTATATGCATTTTGAAATCACTGGTGATCCCTGCAATCTGATTGGCGCTCAGCAGGGTGAGTTAGTCAGGAATTACACTATTTTTTGCTCTAAATCACATCTGTTCCAAATCGCGTCATTCATGTTCTAGATCACCGAGTCATTTCTGTTTTAAATCGCACTATTTTTGCTCTATATCGCATCATTTCTGTTTCAAATACAAAAACGAGACGTAAAAGCCTTTTTGTTTCCGCTTCTAAACAAACCGGCTACTTGATCAATAAAAAAAATGGTACTTTCTGATTTCCGTGATTTCGAAATGGCTGTAATAAGGCCGCGGTAACTGAACTTCGTGCCGTTCAATTTTGGTCTGAAATCATACTAGTGATTTTCGCGCTCGTCCGATTTTGAAATCACGTGTATGATTTCAGACCAAATTGCCTTCCACTCAGTTCAATTACTATGATTAATCACCAAACCAATCCTGAAGTAATCACTGTGGTCAAAAAAATGAGTTAACTAATCAAAAATCGAGATCTAAACATACAACTGTGGGTTCTCATGCCACAGTAGTTTATTTCAGGTTTGACATTTTTCTTAATCATTTCTTTACTTGCTAGCTTTATAGAGCAGCCAGGGCAAGCTTATCTTCATTTAACGATAATAGACTAAAAAAGAACTCAAGATAAACGCTACTGAAATGAACTGAACGGACGATGCAGAGTTTTGCCCAGTACCATTGCCCGGTTTTTTTGTCGGGGGTCCCACGTCAACGCTGGGGTCCAGGATCGCAGTGTTGTTGAAGATGGGGATTTGGAAAATCACCTTTTTATTCATTCCTCCATTGGGCACCACTTTCGGAAATCCTTTCGGCATTGCAACATAATTGCCGCTGTCGATTAAAACCTGGAAAAATAGAAAGAATAAATCAGATTTAAGACAAAAAGTATACCTTTTCTCTTTGAAAGTGCCATGAACTCATTCGAAATCCCTTAAAAGGTGAGCTTGAACAAGCTACAGTCAGAATGGAAATGAAAGGGACAAATCGATCCAGCACGGTGGGGCCAAACTATCCCTCAAAACGGTCATCAAGGCGTGGTACTTTAAGTTCATTTGCCGTTAATTTTGCTGGCCTGCATAGGCATTTCAAAAATACCCTCCAAGTGTTAAATCATGCCTTACGTTAGCTAACGTTTTCAGTGCTTTTGACGTCGTCCGTTGAGACGTCATGATTTCACATTTTGCGTCAAATAAAATCTTAAGATTATTTGGCTAACAAGAGTATACTATCTGTTAAGTTTGGTAAACTTAAGATTAACCTAAATATCCGATTTGTAGCGTCGTGTGGTGGGGTTTGGCCTCAACATGATTTTATCAGGGGCACCCAGCGACTTTTTTCTGTAAAAAGATAAAAAAAAAATACTGCCTAGAAATTTCTAAAGCTTGAGAAAAGCTCAAAATGTCTGGATAACCGTTCCATTTGCCTCAAATATTCGGAGGTTTTCTAACAGCTTAACTACGATTTTCGGAGGTTGTGTTATTCACATTTTGATAGCAAGATATTGCGATTATTGTTAAAAAAAAAAGGCTCTCCTAAAAACTTCGGTATAAAGACGAAAGGTCCCCTATAATTTTCTAATGAAAGCAAGGCTGCTTCATGTCATCAAACTTTCGACCGCACCCATAAGGGTAACTAACATTTTCAGATGAGACGAAAAAGCCACCTACGACTTTCGTGACAACAAAAGTTCTAACAAATAGTTTTCAGAGCAACTCCAAATCAACAAAAAAGGTTTCTAAAGCACAGGGAAAACCATTTACGAGACTTGGGTGCCCCTGATTTTATACAGAGGCGTTTCACGAAGATATTGTTGTTTCAGGTCAATTTTGCGCTTAAGACATGTCTTAAGTCATTTCTTGGTGTGTTTGCGGTAAGCTTGTTTTTATTTGCGCTAACGTCCCATTCGAGGTGGGCAGGCAAATCGTGTTAATAAAGTCGGTAAAATATAAATGCGTTTCTCGTGTACGTGTCAGACTAACCGTCTCTACTTACCCCTTTATTCAGGGCCATCTTGGAGTTGCCGCCCAGTTTGTAGACGATGGGGCAATCGTCGTCCTCCTCATTCGGGTCATCATCAGGGTCCACGCAAATGTCACTGTCGACATCCTCTTCAAGGTCATCTGCTTCACTCTTAATCCCAAGTGTGAGCTCAAGGCCTTTCCCAATTTCTGGCTGCTTGCTTTGTGAAAGGCAGCTTACAGAAGCATTACAAAATGGCCAATCACTGACCTTGGAGAAGAAACAGTGGAATCATTATGAAAAATTTATATGCATTTGTTTGCTAATCATTCATTATATTTCGGCAGGAACGTGCTTTAGTCTCCTTGACAAGAGAGTGTGACTGTCGTTAGAAGGCCTGACTAAATGAGAGTGAGCCAGTCAGGTTAGCTGGCGATCAGCCTGGCAAGTTCTGCTCGGCTCATGCTTTTTTCCTTAAAACATGCGTGCTTAAATCAGAAGGCGGGCTGGCTTGCCCACATGCATCGGTTTTTCGAGTCTTGATCTCGGCAAGAAGGCCAACCTTCTTCTCAAAAAAAGAAAAGAAGGCACGAGCCGGCCAGCCTCACCTCATATATATAAAGCCAAGCCACTTAAATGAATTGCACTTTTAGAACTACACTCCATTTGTCAGCAGATCAGCAACTGTTTGACGTACGCAAGTCATTACGGGACCGTGACCAAAGTTTGTACTTTGCGTGAAGTTCAGTACTGAAGGACCTGCCGAACCTACCTCAATGTTAAACTTCATTGTTCCACTCTGCACTCTAAATGTCTCATTGCCAAAAGTAACGTTACCCGCGCTTAGAAAAACCATAACCACGAGGCGAAGGTTACCCTGCTGGTTACTCAAAACTGTATCGGACATATTGATGGTTTTCACGGGGATTCCTTGATAAAAGGTCGAGTTATCCAACGCCGAAAACCTAAACATTTTTGAATCCAAAGAGCTGACACGGTGCTGTACAGATTCTTGAAGACCAACAGGCTTCCCTGCAGTTGAACAGATGAAGAAAATTATTCACGTTATGTCTCAGCCTTAGCTGGTGGGCTGAGAGAATGATATCACTCACTCGTTTTAAATCACGATTCATAGGACTGTTGAGAGGGTGTCTACAAGGATAAATTTCTACAAGTCGTGCATAAAATAGTTTAAAGAAAGAACGTTTTACGTTTTCCTGAAAACACACTCATTTGAGACTACAAAGGTGCCCTTAGCAAGCTGTAACAGCACATTTGAACGGTAACGTCATTTGGCTACAACTATTAGAATCCTTCAGTTTGATTTTGTTTGCCTATTGTTTTAAGTGAAAATCTGGGCTGTTGTTTTTTAAATCTTACATAATTAAAATAAGACAGCAAAAACTATGTGAACTCTGGTGGTTGTAGTTCACTGAATCGATCGTCGAAATGGCCTATTGACTGTAAAAGTGTTTATAATTACTTTCAGAGTTGACGGAGCCGAAGGTAAGATGGCTGCTTAGAGAAATGGCCAAGGAGATGAGGCCGGTTGCCCCTTCGAGCCCCTGTTGGACCCCCTCTAGCTTTGCTGAGAAACTTGCATTTTTAATTTCTTTCGGGTGAAATTTAAAATTTTACCGGTACATAGCTTTCTGTAAAGGGAAATTTAAAATGAATGATCAGAGAAAAGCAGTTAGACTGGTTTTGCGTAGGGCTTGTCCAACCGCGTGGACCGCTTATTCTGGAGTGACATTACCTGCAAAACATCCTAACAGACTGTGAGCTAAACCGTAGCTATTGTAACTTTGGCGTCCTTATTTCGCTTCCACTGAAGCGAACAGATTTAGCCTTCTACCAGGCTTTTCTGTATTCACTTACGATGGCCATTTCAAGTGACTGTGATTAGAAAATGTTTATGTTTTCTTTCCATCTATTTAGATCTTTAGTTCCTTCCGTATATCTTCTTTCTTTGTTTTTCTGACATTTTTAGCTTGAATATGAGCAATCATCTTCTCATTCCGTAAACCCTTGGGGAGAAATAAATTCGCCATCTTCTAAGCCAGTTAAAAAAATTGGCCACGATATGCGACCACAACGATTCTTTGGATTGTTTGGAGGGACACCATGAAGGTCAACGAACACGGCGCGTTGCAGGAGTTGAATTGTGTTCCAAACTGCAATTAAAGTTTAGAGATGCCACCTTTCCTCACTATATTGTAGAGTATTTTAAAGATCTTTAAGGTATGTCTTTTTAGTTAGGATAACCTTGAGAGCCTCTTTTACAGGTGGTTTTTGCTGTCCGCCATGTTTTTACTGTCCCTCCAAACGACCTCTAGAGATTTTCTGATCATATGTAATTCTTACCACTAGTTGCCCGCTCTTTTAAAACATAAACTCCATGACGTTAAAAAAAACGACTTACCATCACCGTCTACCTCCTGAAGTGATTCCACTTGAAAGGATAATAACTCCTCATTGTTGTCAGTAAAATCTTCTTTCTCGTCATCATCGTTATTGTCTTTGCCGTCATCATCATCATCATCCTCCTCAAAATAGACCGTAGAAATTTTTCCCGACTCTCCTTCTAATAGGACGGAAGTATCACCCCCACGGATTAGCACAGTGTTTTTAGCTGTGTCAACTACATCAGTGGCGAAACATGATATTAGCAGTGTTGCTATGGAATAAAACAAAGTTTGTTAAAGCTTAGATTGAGGATCCAACGAATGGGCCTTTCCATGAAGCACTGTGCACGTACCCCATAGTGGCGGGACTTTCACATAATTATAATCTTAAACGAAAACAGAAATTGGAGAACAGAAAGATTTGTTTCTCCCGTTAAAAAAATACGCGTCCACACGAAGGGTATTTGAATCGTTAATTCGCTCGTCCACTTAAAAACGCTAATGCGTTGGAAGTTTTGAAATTATAGTATATACCCCTTCCGGGCATGCGCAATGCTAGTAGTATATGTATGACATCAAAGTATTCGAAAACCTTCTTTCGTCCGTTCGCGTGGAACGAGAGGAGCCGGCGTTTCAGGAAATCTCCACTACGGGAACCGTTTTCGAAAACCTGCGTTTTTGGTGCCAAAAAAACGCCGTTTACATGTAGACGGAAGGCTAACACGGAGAAAAAAATCTCTGATTTCAAAAATATCTGAATACGTATGGACGGGGCCTATAGTTTCTAAGACTAAAATAATCGTTTTTCCATTTTCCTGTTTTTTCACCAACCAATCAAAGATAAACGTGACTAGTAAACAAAACCTGTCAAAAAATAAGAGAACTCAGTCAATCCAGATATTTGGTTAAGAGCGGGATAAGGTTATGACTCAATTCATGGGAACCTTTTTATTGCAGAAGACCAGTACTAAACCAAATCTTATATCCCTCGGCCTTCTTTATAAAGTCTTTTTACACTGGTTAAGCTGAGCTTCTCCATTGTCGAGGTAAAATCAACAGTTTTTATGCGACTTTCCACTTTACAAGGGAAGATCCTTGCCTGTTATTAAATTTATTCAACTTTGTTCATTTACAGAACACTTGCGTGATCACACGCTCAATATATCTTGAAGTATGACTTGACTATATTGATGTATTATTTAAAAACTTGAAGGATTGTACGCACGAAAACCTGGACATGTAATATTTTTTGGCACCAAGCACTTGTAAGCGTATACTGTGACATGCTTTCGATCTTATTTGTAACAATAAAATGCATTAAATCTCCTGCATTAAATACAGCCCAAAAATAATGAATAATTATAGTTTCAGGAAAATAACGGGGGCCATACATTTTCTATCAAGCCGTACGGGTATATGCTAGCTGTAAACATAAATGAACCGTTTACAAGTGACTGCTAAACATTACAATCTAAACAGTTTTCTTGAGCGTATTCTTTAAAAAAAAGACATAAAAAAAACTGGGCCAAATAATGTCAATGTTAGTTGATAGTTTTTTCCAAAATCTTCAGTCATACGCCAAAGCACGCTTTCGCTGAAATTCTGTAGTCGCGTGCTTTCAAGTCCCTAAAACCATCCTCACAATATGATGATATTCAAATCGTTAGCTATAAACGCCTAGGTTATATACTAGACTTTTACAAACGACACGTTCAAGGCGCTTATAACCTACCAATTATGAAAATAAATTTTAAATTTGTCTGATTTAGCCATTTCCAAGGAAGGGCAAATATCCTTTCTTTGCTATCTATTAATTATTTTAAGCAGACCAAAAACCAAACGACGCATTACAAATGAGCCTGTCCGCTTAGATCATTAATCATTGGAGGGCTAGAATCCATAGGAAGTGTCACTCGCTGGACTACATGACTCGCCGGAAAGGGCGTTTAAAACTGAAAGCAAATATATTGCATGTTCTAGGATTTTTCCTTAAACAAAAATATATTATTAAATGCTGCAAACATTTTTAAGCTTTTTTTTTTCTCAAATTTTGTATGGTTTTAATTTAATATTGCGTGAATTCCAAGTCTGTAGTAGACATTGAGTCTGTCGGACTTGAGAGCTGTAGAGGTTTCATCAGTTGACGATTTTAAGAGGTATTGGGAAGCTTTTTGTTCTCTGTTTCATTCACTTTCACGCTAACAATATTATAATCACCTTCATGATATTGAAATGGGAAATATTTTGCTGGCATTGGAGAAGAACCTAGAAACTCACAAATAAAATTCATCATAATTTTAAGACCTTACAACTGCGTTTTTGTTAGTTTTCACAGGGATAGTTGCTGCAATTACTGGCCGATTTAATAGTAACTGTTTAGCTCTATAATACAGCTATCCCAGCAGCCTGAAATTACTAAACTTCGCCTTATGTCCTTCCTGTTTTTTTGAAATTAGACAGATTGTGAGGAGGTAGGAAATTTGCAACAGTCGACGAAAATTTAAGCGAGTACTTATATGGTCATTTCTGGTTTACTTGAGACGTCAGTACCATTCTTATTAGGGCGCTTTCCAAAAGTCAGGAAGGGACGACCCGAGCAGTCATTTTGAAAATGAAATATTGATATTTTCTTGAAATTTTAACTAAAACCCATCACTGCTGTGCACGTTATTTAAGGCCTAAACTGATCTGGCTGACGGGATAATCCTGTCTAGTTCGACTTGACTGGTCTAGCCAACCAGTTCTGGCAAAAGGTAAGCGCCCTTAGATTAATTAAATGCTGAAGAAATTTCATTTTCAAACAGCATAATTTTGTTTCTGTTTCCAAACGAGAAAACCGATGAGATCAATCGCCAGACTTCAGCTAGGTTCGCATGAATGATCAGCTTAAATATGATTGCCGGTTTTGAATTATTTTGCTTCTTCCGTTAACAAGGAAATTAAACTGACTGTGGTTAATTTACTGTACCAAAGCGAGCAAACCAAGATATCAAACTCTTTTTCAATTTGTGACCGACATTACTAGCTAACACTTACCAAGGCAAACAAGGAACAATCCAGTTCTGAAAGACAAACGAAACATCTTGGTTCTTCAATTTATGGAGCAGTTGTTAACGCTTACCTTACCGAAGTACAGAACTGAAATGATTCTGACCACAATTACACGCTTATTAATACAGCAACCGACGAATAAAGAAGGCTAATTAACAATTCTCCTGTTTAATTATGATGTAAATGGGGTGAGGTCTACTTAATCAATACTCCTTCTAGTTTCTCAGCCACTTTAGAATTATAGAGTTGAATTGTTTGCATGACCAAAAATGATAAATGTGTTTTCTAAAGATAAATCTAAACCCTACAGCAATAAACTTCTATATAACTCTTTTAGCCTTACTTTAGCTTTAAAATCGTGTTAGAATTTTTAGAAATATTTGTAGCCTTATATTTCATGTATGGTCTATTTAGGGTAAATGACTTGTTTGGAGCCCACAGAAGGCAATATTCGACGGTTTAATTTTGAAAAGTTCACTGGAGCAAACAAGGTTGCATGGAAACTTGGGCTCCACGCCACAAAGTCTGAACGAGAATGTTTAAAAATAAATAAACGAATTTATGCTCAATGAAAAATGTAGAAAAACCGGATTTAAATGTGGATGAAACCGTTAAAATTTCGTTTAGAGGCAAAAAATTTGAACATCGAATCAACATGTTTTTTGGTAAACAAATTTCAAAATTGCGTGTCTATAAATGCAAATATCAACTAGCTGAGTAATAATCTTAAATGAGATCATATGCATTAAATGGAACTCGATAAATAAACCTTTTGAATAAAAAAGGATCATTAAGGTCCAGTAGTACCTAACACCTTTTTAAGCATTACGTCATAATTCTTGGTCTGATTGATGTACCGCACAGCGTTAGTCTTACGCATATGTTTTAACTAGGGTTAGTCAACATTTACCTAAAGTGACCTTAAACCTAAACCTAAAAAAACTAAGAAGTGACTTAAGTTATTATAAGACAAGACTCATGGTTGCGGCATTTTCATTATTTATCATTATAAAATGTAACGAAAAGTTTCGCCAGCGTACTACGTTCAAATAAGATCTCTCGCAGTCAAAACACTGCAGTATCTTGGTGATTGCCTCTTTCAGGTTACCGATCTCTCTGTTTTTCAATTAAATCATCAGGCCGTTTTCTCTAACATATTCTAAGCTGTTCTCCATGCAAAATTAAAAGCACCCTCTTACAAGCAAGATAGTGCACATGAATCTTAGACACTTGTATTCATCCTTTTTAAAAGATACTAGAAAGAAGTCGTGAGAAAAACTGACGATTTCAGTCAATGACCATGGTGGTTTCGAGGCCTTTGGGATATTTTACTCCTGTCTCAAGTTCATTTTGTCATTTTGAATGTTGCTCTGACAGGCTAATGACGTTTTTATTATCTGTTTTAATGGTAACCAGGAAAAACACTCCACATTATCATTAATGGAGCGGAATACTGAAGTGCTAGACCCTCAGCCACCTGTTGCATCCGTGGCGCGGCGTAAGCTCTTCATTACTTGTTTTCTGTTTGTTTGGGTCAATTGCAGAAATATTTTGCGATGGTTGTTTTAACATTTGAGAATTCTATTTTGGCTTTATTTGAGCCACATAACTTGTTATGAAACAGTTAGAATATCCGTTATGGGTAATAGTTGCTATAGAAATTTAAGTTACTGATAAAAAAACAAACAACACACAAAACAAAATTAAACAAATAAGGCAAATTATAAGAGAAATCACACACACAAAAAGCTTGATCGTTATGGTTTTATGGTTTGTTAATCTAGGTTGCAAATGCTGTAGAAACTCTATCGAGACTATCGGGGGCGAGCCACTGACTTTGGAAAATCCGCCATGATTCATAATCCTTTTAGTCAGCGGATTGACAGAAATTATATTTGATCTTATCTAGGAAAAACCAGAAATTTTTATTGCGGCTTAAATGGGACACGCTATTATATGATGATTGCATGCTGGAAGACTAGTTCCTCTCTTTTCCCCTTTTCGCCTTCAATAATTATTTCTTGTCTTTCTTACTAGTAACAAAAATAAAATGGCAAGTAGATTGACTAGAGCATATTCCTCGAACCGAAGTCTAACTGGTGAAAACGAGGTTACAGACAGCTAACTGGACGTGATTTTCTTTATTATAAGTAAAGGTCTGTGGCCATTCAATTCCATCTGTGGCGTCTTGAAGTAAGTGGGGCGATCCGCTCATCCATGCAGTCCTTAAGATAAGAGCTAGGAGGGAGGGGAGAGGAGTTCCAGCCTGGAAACTAATTTTTCTCAGTCACGCGGGCCTCAGTTGGGCACAGTCTTTTGGACAGTGAACAAAAATAAACATGTGAATGAATGAATAAATAAATAGGTGAGTAAGTAAGTAAATTGGGAAAGCTCTTACTCATTAGCATTTATGTGCACTATACAAAGGAAACAATACTGAGAGAGTTTCAGTTTCCATAGACGAATCGCAACCAATAATGTCAATGATTTTCTCTACACAGTAGGAATTAACCAGTTTTGTCCTACCATCTTCTGTGGAGAAGCTGAACGGAAAACGTAGTTCTTTTATTTTGGAGCTGTAAATATTCTAACGCCTTTTGGAAAGATTGCTGTGAATGGCCATGGAAAATGTAAAACATCTCCAAAGTAGAAAAAAATCAACCAGTCTGAAGTTCTCTTATTTAGCTTTATTAACGATGCAAAAGACTTAATACGGCACCATTGACTGCTTATCGCTAAGCATTATATTTACACCTGTAAACAAAAAGATACGGGCCCAAATGTCCAAATGTGAATACAAATAGTTCAAGACTCTGTGGAAATAGAATAGAAAGGCAAATCGCCACAAAAGACAGGCGCTCAGTCAAAGAACGCGGTCGGAAAAGTTCGGGGAGAACTGGGAATTATAAATCCGCTGCTCATGCGTCAAACTTGCCCACCATTTTGTCAAAGTCCACTTATAAAATATCTGCAAGGATTCGTGATTTTCATTGTTAATGAGATCAATGCAGCAGTTAACTTAATTTTATTATTGATGGACCGTCAATGTTTACCTACCTTCTTGAAATTTCGTTCTGGTTTTACCAAAAATTGTTATTGAGAGAAAACAACTTTGCAGAGAAGGATCTCAGTTCAGTGTATTTTCCTTAAAACAAATTCAAATGTTAAAGAAACTGTGACCGTCTAATTAATACCAACTCAGCAACTCGGTCGAGTATAGATTATTAAAAGTCCACTTATAAAATATCTGCAAGGATTCTTTTTTCAAAAGCCAACCCTTGGCCCATATGGGTCAAAAACTGTTCTGGTTTTCAAAAGTTCACATTTTTATTACCAACTCGGTCGAGTATAGATTATTAAAACTAACTTAACTTTAAAAGCCAACCCGGCCCATATGGGTCAAAAATGGCAAAAGCACATTTTTTATTACCAGGCTTAGTTAACTTAAAGTAAAGCTTAATTGCTTTTTGTATTGGCTCTTTCGATGCCATTTAAACTTAAACTTAGGTCTTGTAACGAAAACACAGCTTTACTATTGCAAGCGTATATTTTTAAAAAATTAGTTTACTGGATCCAAAAAAGGTGTCGGGAATTTCGAGAAATGTGCCCCAGGTAGATACACAAATGGATTTCGGCAGATCTCACAAGAAGGTACCTAAAACCTCTGAGACAAAGGATTAGAATCGCATCCTTTAGAACCGTTCAAGCAGTAGTGGTACTCCTTCACGCACACTACAAAACCGCTGAATCTGCTGAATGAAGTGTTTGTTCCTATTTCAGCTATTCGCCCTGTTCTTTCGCACGGTGGACCTAATAACGACGATCCTGGCAAACAATTCGATGTTGAAGGAGTATTTTGCAAAGCCCTTCACCACTCAGGAAAATTAATGTGTGTTAGGCCACGCAAAGAAGAAAGAGGCGACTTTTCGGACCGCAATGCCAATCGTGTTGTCATTGAGTTTGACAGCCTACAGGTGGGGATTTTATATATTCTGAATTTGAACATGTTGTTAATTAAAGTGATCAGCCGTGCCATCAAGAGAGGATGCTTGCACCCTAATATGTTTTAAAGAGAAAAAGTTATTGCCAAGATATTTGATATTTAGTCACTTATTAGTTACGATATAAATAATATTCAGTTTATTTATTAAAGCAAGAAACATACTAGAAAAATAGACAAGAACCTTCAGTAGTTATAAAAATGTGTGTGTATTTAACCTTGATATAAAACGGAAGCTAATGTAAAATGAATATAACTTAAAATGTATATCCTCTAAACCTAGAGAAATATATCCCCCTTAATATATATAACCCTAAACCTACTGTGTCCTTGTACTTAGTAAATAATATACAACTATCTCCCGCCGGGGGGAAGTGAAAAGTGGTAACAATTACCGTGACGCGCAGGGTCGAGGTATATTTTTAGCGCCATGAACCGACCCTGAGGGGATAGTTGTTTTAGAATTTACAGAATCAGTTGGATAGAAATGAAACAAGTATATTTTTATACGATCTTGGTGCAAATTCAGCATCAAAATCATTTTCTACCTACCAGTAAACACTGACAAGCCAAAGGTCGTGGATTTCTTGGTATTTGCTTGTACGACTGCTTCATTTATCGCTCAAATTTCGTCTTTCGAAAATGTTTCGAAACGAGACGCAGTCTTGGCTCGGGTCGCAAAACAGTAAATAGCCAAGGATATTCCGAGATACGGGAGCCAATCAAAACGCGCGAAAATTGGAATTGCTATTCACTGATTTGATAAATTAATTTTAAAGATTACCTGAACATTAGTTTTATAAGTAGATGTGATAAGAGTGCTGAATTTCATTTTCTAAGATCACTAAATTAAAAAGAACCTGCACGTACAGGGTACGTTATTTAAATTTCTATAGCGACCTATAAGTTGAAGAACTTCGTTCTAAAACAAGGGATGCTACTCGCCTCCCTAATGACTTGGGGAATACTATTCCACAGGTTACAGCTAGTATATGAGAAAATTATATCTCGAAAGCGAGATTTCAGGGAGTAGGTTGCTCCATGCGCTTCTCACGGCCTCTGACGTTATACTTACGCTGTTTGACAGTGGACAAGTTATTAATGTACGAAGGTCCCGCTTACAACGCCCACAAAACTACAACAACAACAACAAACAAAATAACGAAACAAAAAAAAGAAACTAGAGCTTTCAGACAGGCGTCGCTGGCGTGCTTGAAGTATCAAGTAAATAAATAAATAAAATCATATTGTTAAGACTTCAAAAGCTTAAACATTACAGTAATTCAAGCTCGTGATAGTTAGAAGTTAGAACACTAATTTCGTCAGAAATGAATCAAATCTTCATCTACAGGAACGAAACAGGGGTGGAATAGTGTCGGAAAAGTCGGTCGCCGAGGGCATTTGTTCAACGCGTTTGCAGATCAAGATTTTACCTTCTCGCCCCTGGAACTTGCTAGTTACCAAGGGCTGCGTGTCAAGAACTTTAACTTCACATCCACGCTTAGCGGACCAAATGCAACTCTGACAGTTATGGCGTATATGTTTCAAGACGAAGGAAACATCACCTTTGGTAACGAGACATCAGAGATGAGAAAGGGCATGCTCAAGTTTAACATTCAGGTAGAGCGGGGGATTGTTAATGGAGTCTCGATCAAGTCCTGAAGATATCCATCTCCTCTCACTTTGTATGCCCCATTCTTAACCTCGCTTCCCCACAATAATGCACACTTACTATTAATTAATGTCACATTTTTAAAGTATTCAGCCTCCTAACTCTCAATTTCACTCGTCCAGCTACATTTAATAAGCATAATGGGTCCCAAACGTAACGAATACATATCATAGAAGGTTACGGTAGGATCCGCCATAAGTTCCCGCCTTTACCGACCAACCCAAGAATACCCCAGCCCTGGCAGGTCTAGAAGGACAAACACACAGTTTTCTCATTTTCAAACCAAGCGCATACAGTCCTATTTTGTAATTAAGTTCAGATATAACGCGTACTATGATTGGTTGAAAAAGCGTATTTTATGAGAGTATAAAACACGGAGCTAAAGCTGTCATACCAGGTTTTGAAGGTCAGCTAGAAGGCAATGCGTCGGGAATTTAACGGATTCTTTGTCAAAAACAAATAAAAAAGCCTTAACTGTGCTCTGTTCTGTTGTGAAGCACTAAGGAAGCGGCTAGAGTACGAAAGAGGTTAAAAATGGGGGCTACACGTACACGAAAGAGGTAGGGAGAAACACTCGACCACGTCTCGTGTTCCCCCTATACTTGTTTCGTGCTCTAACCGCTTCTCGCGTGCTTTACAACAGGCCAGAGCACAGTCAAGGTTTCTATCATAATGCTGTTAAGAATGGCACTGAGGGTAAACGCCTGCAATTTAGTCTCAAAAAGATTTATATTCAGGCAAAGAGGTTTCACTCTTATCTCTGTTTTCAGATAGAAAACTGGAAATTTTGCAGTAATAATTCACACGAAGATTGCAATACTGGAGACGAAGGAGAGTTCGTAGATGTCACTCTGGTCATTAAAAGTAAAGGAAAACCCAAGCCTCACGAGGAGGATGAAATAAGCAAACGAACAAAGCATCGCCGTCCTAGATGCTTTAAAAGAGGGAAGTACAACAAGTGCCCCAAGGAGTTTGATATCGGAGGAGGTTCGGAAATGATGCTCAGCTCTCAGGTAGGTTGAATATGGATAACGCTTCAAGAAATTCAGTTTGGAATAAATTTAAATTGAACAAGGCTTTTGGATCGTTAATTTAAAGAGGAATATTTCGGGGAGCAATGGAACGTCTGTGTTACAAAAAGTGTTTCTTTTTTCTTGGTTAGAATCATTCCAATTCTGCACACTCTCCTGTGATGTTAGTTTTGGGGTTTCGCTGCCGTTTTTATTTATTTATTTATTTATTTATTTTTGGCCTACATGTCTCCCAAAGGGGAGGTTAATGGATATATAGAGACGCGAAGAGTCGGGGTATATTATCTAGCGCTGTACACCGACGCTGACGGGGATAGTTCTTTTAGTATTTACCAAATCAGTTGGATAAAAATGAAATTGTAACTTAGGACCTTTGTTTACCCTTTACAAACATTTCGGGGAATTGTCAAGTGATTTTTACAGTTTTGTTGCAAATTCAGCATGAAGTGATAATTTTCTTGCTACCAGTAAACACCAACAAGCCAAAGTTAGTTACTTTTCTAGACAAGTTGTTTCTTTGTACGACTGCTTCATTTATCGCTCAAATTTCGTCTTCCGAAACGAGACGCCATCTTGGCTTAGTTCGCAAAGCAATGAATAGCCAAAAGGATACTCCGAGTTACGGGACCCAATCAAAACGCGCGAAAATTGCTATTCACTGCTTTGGTAAATACTTATAATTACGATCCCGAAGGGAATTTACCAGTCCTAAGTTGTGTTTACATTTGCCCCACCATGAAACGACCGGTTTGACCATGTCTAACCTCATTTATTCGGCGGATATCGGATGGGATATCGATCAAATTTTGAGTAACGAGTACCGTTAAAATCCGAACGACTATAAGCCCTTGGGCTCATTCAACTTCATAAGGGGCTTTTGGATGGGATACACGCCATAAAAACAACGTCTAAAAAGAAGCTGATAAAAACACGCATTATATTTCACTGCAATTAAATATTACGACTTTAAAGGGGAACTTAAGCTATATACGGTGGACCTTAAGGCACCTAAATCAGAGCGCCACACCTGTCCTTTACTCAAGTTGCCTCCCCCGTGTAAAAACATCCTAGTCATCGAACTTTGTTTCTTTTGATTTAGGTAATGGTCGACAACGAAATACGAGACATGCCAGGGAATGGTGTCTATCCGAAGATCATAGAAAACGAAAACAGGCAGAAATTTATTTTTCGTTTTCCAAAAGCTGTCAGTAGAATTCTTTATGACCCTGGACTGGAAGTAGGAGAGGATTCCGGCTCTGGCTGTGCTATACCTCTTCACTTGGTTGAACTTTTGTTCATTATCTTTTCTAGTTCCCTTTTTTTCTCTTGACGAGTTTAAGTGGATTATGATTGGACACGCTTTTGCTGTGTTTACACTCAAGCGTTTACCAAGGTAAACATTAACTGACTAAACCCTGGTACATTTGTACAGTGTTTATACGGGCTCAAATAACTAAGGTAAATCTGTCATCAATCACAATCTAATCGAATTGGCGCAAATTCTAAATCCATGCATAAAATGTTGGCGTTTAAAAGAGAAACTGTGGCTCTTGTAGTCCTCGCGTTTTATTTTCTTGTTCTTGATCAGCAAACCCAGGAATCGAGATTGCAGCAGCTCTTACTTTTGCAGCACCTAAAAAGGTCGAGGCGAAAGCGATTAATTCTGCTACAAATTGCCCTTCGCAAGACAAGGCGCGTTAGACGTGCGTGGTCGTGGCCGAGAAACCAATTCTGGTTCGAAACTTTACCTTTCGGGCAGGTTGCATTCGTAATGATTTGTGTCTTTGTTTTTTGCCATAACTTCTTCGTAGACCGAAACCAAACGTGGAAACCTGGTCGAAAACCTGGTCTCGAAAACGTGATCGAATCAGACTGACGCAATCCCGACACCACAGGATGCGAAATTCTATGCCACCGCAAGCGGATGTATCTGTCATCCAAACCTTGGTTACCGACCTTAACCATGCCTTTTCGCAGGGCAAACCGAACTTTTACCTAAGTTAACTTTCTATTGTCTTGAGCGGTGTTTACCAGGGTATCAGTCGGCGTTTACACACGCAAAATATTTACCTAGGTAAGTTAACTCCAATACCTCGGTAGCACGCTCAAGTCTAAACACGGCATTTATTTGTTCAATAAGTGCAAAACGGGGAAATTCGTCAGTGACGTTTCAGCATTTAGAAGTTACCTCAGTGCACGGTTGTGTTGGGCTTACAGTAGTCTTTTAGACGTTTGTCCTTATTTCATTTTGGTCTTTATATGATGACAAATTAAGCCACTAAAAATTAAAGATTTTACTTGAATATCAGCAAAAGTCTCACCTTGTCTTGAAAGTAAGAGCGGCAGTCGAACCACGTAGAGCGTTTGAGCATTTCAGTTCACAAATAACAAGGTAACGAGCTGGACGGGTAAACAGAGTTCCTTTTCTGACATCAGGTAGAGAACACTACGGCCTCAAGATTAATGAAAAGTAAAGAAGTTAACATTTTCACACATCATGTGACAAAGCTTTGCCGTAGACTTTGGACTTCTCCTTTTCTGTATGTGATCGAGTGATGTTTAGTTCTGCACATATTCTCCATATAGCAGATTTCATCTAGCGGGTGTATTCTTACTGCTTTTGCCATGTCTTTAGGTAGTAGTTCGGCTATTTCTTCGTCGAGAAACGTTTGAAATGTTTCTCAGTTGTGTCTAGTGCTCTACCGAAACAACGCAACCGCGTCCCCAGGGATTCTCGGTTGTCGTCAATTTTTTTAGCACTTTATATGTGGCACTAATCCACTAATGAAGTAATTTTTCAAAAACGCAAACATCTTTTAAATTTGGTCAAGGCTAGCTGTTTATGAAGCTAGCTGGTTATCCTATTTGAGCCAAAAAGAAATAGTGGGATATTTTGAATGAATAACTCAAAAGAATTGTCCTTATAGAATGCCTAGCAGAGCTTAGCAGGTTTGTACTATCGCAGGACCACGGCTACTGTAATGGAGAGGAAAGCAAGCCACGGTGGCAGCATGTCGGCTAACAATACCAAATTAAGCACTGAAGCACACGCACCAACTCCGCGGTATTTCGGCTAACACCTGGGCCCGGTTACTCGAGAGACAGATAAGCGATGATTAAGCCAAACTTAAAGCAAGGTTTTCTTGCCGAAAAACATGTAACTCGAGCCTCCAAAATGCCGTTGGGTCCCCGGGGAGGGTACTCCCATACATTACCTATACGGGTATGTGCCGCCCAACGGGGTAGTGATTTTGAAGCTCCTGATTTAGAACGGGGTATCCATTTTAGAGGCGTTTTCTAGAACGGGGTATAATATTTCGAACGCAAGTTCCAGTTTTGTAAGCAGCTATTTGAAATTATTCAAGGACAGATTGCTTTTAAAAATACGGTTAAATGCGCGCGTTAACAAGCAAACTGTTGTACTCTTGTTGCACCCTGAACGGAGTATAAAAAATTGGCTCATTTCTAGAACGGGGTATCAGTTTTAGGGCGAATTCTAGAACGGGGTATCAATTTTAGGGGAATTTTTTTTAGAACGGGGTGCCAATCTGGAGGCCCGGGCGGCACATACCCACCCAAAAAATACCCAAGTGCCCCCCCCGGGGTTGGGTCTTTACTCCGAAATACAGTAATGAAGACACAAATGTTCCCCGAAAGTTTTACCCTAGGCAGTACATAGAAATGTAAATAGTCTAAATACAAAGAGTGGAGTGGAACAAAATTTTAAACCTGGACTAAAGCTAATCAGCCTTTTCAGGAACTGGGCCCCAGGAGAATGATTGCCCAATTTCGTCATTAGACCAGTCGATACCTGAAGCGTAAAGATAAACCGTGCCTCCCACCTATTTATTCTCACGGACCTCACGCAAGCCTGCGCGCAGAATAATCGATTTCTCAAAATAAGAGTTGCAAGCCATTACAGTTTTTTTTTTTTTTTTTTTGAAAAGACGCTCAAGTTATTGCAATGGAACTCGCTACTTACAAAATTGTGGATCAGTCGGAACAAAACAGCAAGAGAAGCGGCGTATTTATGAAGTACAAGATCATCGCTATCACAGCTGTAGTTTTGCTAGTTGTTGTAACTGCTTTGGTTCTCTTAGCAGCCTTCCTTGGTCCTGGTCGTAAAAAGTTCACTTCGGTGGACTGTAGTGAAAACACTGGTGAGACGCAAGCATCTGCTAAGTCAGGTGAGGTTCAGTGCCTTTGATAATTGTATCAGCTTCGGTCAGGCCAGTGACCAAGGTGGCTCGGTTGACCGAGGTGTCACTTAATATTATAAGTTACCGATAAAATCTGCTAAGCGTCTTTTAAATAAGTGTTATTTACGTTTTCGCATTACTGCCTTCATCAGAGATCCTTTTTGCTTAAAACAATTCAGTTTTGTTCGTTCATACGGAGGGCGAAGAAGTCAAGCCCTTGAAAGCGGCTTCTGCCACAACCGAGATGTCGGTCATACAAACAGTTCCCAACTACGAATGCCTCTCCGTTGAAAGACGTCGCTTTTAGCAACATTTATCGGTGTATTTTGTTGTTTATCGTCAAAATTTTTTGGATCATGACAGACCGTACAGTGAGACTATAAATCGTGTTCGAACATAGTTGAGTGACGTTGGATCAAAACAAATCGTGGTCAGTCAAAGAATAAACAAACAGTCCTGACACATGGCCCTGCGAGGACTTACTTGTTATAAGGATTGCTTTGGTTCCGGGAAATGCCGGGGAAATGCGCCTCTGTAATGTGCCTCAGGTTTTGTCATCAGTTCATTTAGGGACTTGTGCCAGTACAGTTTGTGTTTTGGATATCGAATAGCACTAAGTTGGTGATAGCGACAAGGAAAAACATAAGCTTTAGTTCATGTTATTTCTTTCGTGGAGTCCATGACTTACACGATTACCCCAGAAGGGGAGGAATAGGTTCTTGGAAAATTCGGATAGGATATTTTACTAACGAAAGAACGAACAAACGAAAGAGTGAGTGAGGTTATAAACTAATTATAAGGAAAGCATAAGTACCGTATTTATTCGATTAACCGCCCTGGGCGCTTATTAAATTTTTGGACCTTGAGGGTGGGCGCTTATTCGAGGCTGGGCGCTTATTAAAATGTCACCATTGTCAGCAAGTGCAGTATGTTTATTTTGCAATAAATGGTAATAACAAAACGTGAAGATGTAACAAAGCAAGGTTCTTGTAAACCAATTGTGTAAACTACTCTGAAGAAAATTCCGTCTTCGGGGAAGTCTCTTCTGAATATTAGTACTTATTCAATTTTGGGGCTGGGGGTGGGAGCAGGAAGGCGGGGGGGTGAGGGTGGGCGCTGTTTGCGTTTGAGTGAGAGGGGAGGGGGAGGGGTGTAGGTGGGCGCTTATTTACTTTTTCTACCTATAGGATGGGCCGCTTATTCGAGGTGGACGCTAATTCGAGGTTGGGTGCTTATTCGAATAAATACGGTATGAGAGTTTCTTACTCGCTAGGCACTGGTTCAACCATGCGGATCCTTGTGTTCATGCCTGGGTAAACACAAGGTTGATGTGGTGTATGATGCCCCCCCCCCCCCGGGGGGGTACTCCGGATTACAAGTGAGGCGTGTGATAGAAGTATTTCTTGAACGTTAAGTGGGAAATTAATTAATTTAAAGATCTTTAAAGTATTTTCCCGTGACGTCTGTCAATAGATACTGTTTGAAGCTGGTGGAGCTGGGTTTATATCGGGAATTCAAAGATATATTTGAGGAAAATTGGACATAATTATTGGTTGCTGCTGTTATTAACTTTCCGTCCCCCTTTTCCCTGCAAGTTTTGTTGTTGTTGTTGTTGTTGTTGTTGTTTGGTTTGGTTTGGTTTCGTCCGAACGGGAAATTCATTGCACGACATCTCTGACATCTCTTCGTAACTGGATTTGTCAAAAACACTCTTACAGACGCAAGCCTTCTGGTCATACCTCCGTCCGCAAGCCTTAACCCACAATGCATCCACCAGCATACTGGTTATCAAGCCTTTTAAAGGAGCCGTGTCAGAAAATTCAGCCAAATTAGGAAATTACAAAATGCCCATTAAATTAAGAGAAACATAAAAATAATTACTGATTAAAACTTTAAAGGAAGCTTAAAATAACATAACAGAAACAACGGATGCCACGGATGGGCAAAACTGAAGAATATTGAAACAGATTGAAATTAGGATTTTTGAAACCTGTTCAGCCTAATAGTTTTTCAAAGTTGATTCCCACTGCTTGCAACTTTAAAAATAATGCTCAGGAGACATATTTATTTGTCTCGGATCTCTGATTTTGTCATATACCTATCATTTCTTTGCTTACTTTAATTTCCATGG